CTGTTGAACTTTGGCAGGAGACACTGTTCACCATGTGATGTTCCCAAAGTGACAGTTTGCTTTACCCAGTGTGAGGGATCAAGGCAGAGCCACATTCTCTGTGCCTCGTCTCAGAAGTCTCTCTGCTGGGTCTTTGTTCCCTCCGTTAAACATTTGTATATGTTTATGTATATGAGTGTTTTTTTCCCCCTGTATGTGTCTGTATCGCATGTGTGCTGTGCCCTTGGAGGCCAGAAGACAGTGTCTGATCCCCTAGAACTGGAGTTACAGACCATTTACCACGAAGTAGGTGTTGCGAGTAAAACCAGGGTCCTCTGGAAGAGTTGCTGGTGCTCCTAACCACTGAGCCCTCTCCCCAGTCCCACACTCTCGTTGTCTCTGTAATTTGTGACAATGCACATATTGTCCCTGTTACTGTAAGAGAGGAGAGGTTAAAGGTGGAAATACAAGAAGCTAATGTGATTTGGGAGTGTCTTGGAATCTGGCTGTCATAGTGTCTAATCTTTCTCTTGGTAATCATTTGTTTCTTGTCTTCAAAATAGCATCGTGACATTCGAGTGGGCATTCTGTATACATAGCTTCTGATATAAATATCCCGAAAGCATTTGCCAAGGCATTCCTTGTGTCCAAGTAGCCGGCAGTGATATATTATGAAATTGTGTTGATTCTTGATAATTTTTGCTCATCTGAGCATTTGTATTAATATAGAAACCAGTTAATAGGGTTCCTCCTGAGAGCCACTTTGAGAATAACTTCAGGTGGGAAGGTCTTCGGGTCAGAAAGACAAGTAGGTATGAAAGGAAAAACTGCAGATATTAGCAGACGTTATTTAAAGATTTGTTTTTACTTCATGTGTAAAAGTGCTTGCCTATGGCTTTGTACACCGTGTGCATGCAGTGTTTGTGGCAACTACAAGAGGGTGTCAGATCCCCTGGATCTAGGGTTATAGATGGTTGTGAGCCACCAACTGGGAATGAACCCGGGTCCTCAGCAAGTTCAGCAAGAGCTCTTAACCGCTGGGCCATCTCTCCAGCTTCCTAGCAAGTATTTAATAGTTATATGTACAGGGGCTTAGATTAAATCGCTAAGTTTCTTTCAACACTTATCCTGTTAAGTCTTATAATATCTATTTCTATGTATTCATTCCCCAAACAGATTTTAAAACCACAGCTTTTTTAAAAGTTCATCGCTGGGAATCTGGAGTTTTCCCTCACCTCCCTCCATAGGAAAAAAATGCTACATTGTTCTCTTCTTCTGAATTGAACTTGTATTCCAAGACTAACCCACAGTTACTTAATGAATTAAAAGGCTATTTTTCTCTTGAAATTTAGAAAGAAATCAGGGCATTACCACTTTGGTATTTAAAGAAACCATGAAGCTACAGTCTGGCGGAATAAAAATCACTTTAAATTGATGTTTAAGCAAAAAGCTTGTATAGTTTTATACAGAGAAGGTCTTGGAAAGCTAGAGAAACTCTGAAAGAAGGTTCTCTGGATTTCATTAGTTTGAATTACGTGTGTATGCACACACACACATGCTCTTCTTACTGACTAGTGGGCTTTGGTTCTGTGTATTTGTTCAGGTGATTCATTCAGGATTACAATGTCTTAGTTTTGTTTTCTTGGCAGTTCTCTTTATTATAATTCTAGTATCCTCCAGGAGAGAGTTTATCTGATGTGTCTGACATGTTCAGGAGTTTACAGCATGATGTCCAATTCGATCACTAATAAAAGTTGCAGTGAACCAGGAGCCTTTAATCCCAGCAGTGTGGTGATTTCTCAGGAAATTAGGACAAAAACCTTCCTCAAGACCCAGTGATACCACTTTTGGGTATATATCCAAAGGATGCTCAATCGTGCCACAAGGACATGTGCTCAACTATGTTCATAGCAGCTTTGTTTGTCATAGCCAGAACCTGGAAACAACCTAAATGCCCCTCGACCGAAGAAATGGATAAGGAAAATGTGGTACATTTACACAATGGAGTATACACAACAGAAAAAAATAATGACAGCTTGAATTTTGCAGGAAAATGGATGGAGCTAAAAAACATTATTTTGAGTGAGGTAACCCAGACACAGAAAGACAATTATCACATGTACTCACTCATAGGTGGTTTTTAAACATAAAGCAAAGAAAGCCAGCCTACAAACCACAATTCCAGAGAATTTAGACAACAATGCGGACACTAAGAGAGACTTACATAGATCTAATCTACATGGGAAGTAGAAAAAGACAAGATCTCCGGAGTAAATTGGGAGCATGGGGACCTTGGGGGAGGATTGAAGGAGGAGGGGAGAGGCAGGGAGGGGAGCAGAGAAAAATGTAGAGCACAATAAATATCAATAAAAAAAAAGAATACCTTTCTTTGTTCTTGGAATTGATTGATGTTATGTTAGACCTTTTCATAACGTCACTGAAGATAAGTAAATATTTGAGCATTCTGTTAATTAGTGTATTATTTTCCCATTGCTGTAACTAAATACTTAACAAAAATAATGTAATAGAAGGATTTATTTTGGCTCCTGGTCGAAGAGAGTTCAGTGTAGTTTATAATGGGGGATGTGGCCGGGATTCTTCACTTCTCAGAAACAGAACAGGGAATCCTGCCTAGTCTGAAGCCTCAGCCCACTGGAGAACAAGTCTTTTCTCTTTAAACTGCTCTAGAAATGCTTCAGAGACTGGTAGAGGTTGTGTGTCTTCTAGATGATTCCAAACCCAGTCAAGTTGATAGGGAAGGTTTACAGCTATAGTTTGTGGTCTTTTGAGACTAAAAGGAATAAAATTCTAGCAAGAAACAGTTCAGATATTGGGGAGACAGGCCATTTATAACTGTTAAAACAAAATAATTGAAATATCCTCTGAAAGTTGTCAAGTTTTTATTATTTGTTCTAAGATCTAGCTTTATGCTTAAGATTTTTGCTTGATATATTAACGTGTTGTTGACTTATTGTGTGTGTGTGTGTGTGTGTATACACCTATGTATAGAGACAAGAGGTAGATGTATGTGTCTTCCTCATTTTCCACCTCCTTTTTTTTTGAGGCAGGATCTCTCACTGAGCCTGGAGGCTCATCAGTTTGGCTAGGCTGTTCTGACCACTGGACTTCAGAGATCTGCCTGTCCGCTTCCTAGCACTGCAGTTAGAGACTTGCATTGCCATGTTCACCTTTTACACAGATCCTGGGGATCCGACTTCGAATGCTCGTGCTTGCTTAGTAATCACTTTACCAAATGAACGCGTCCCCAGCTGTGGTCTCTTAATCTTTGTTTTGAGACACGATTTCTCTATGTAGTCCTGTCTGTCCTGGAACTCTCTTCTCTGTAGGCTAGGCTGGGCTTGAACTCAAGAGATTCAACTGTCTGCCTCCCGAGTACATGGACTAAAAGAATGCACCACCATGTCTGTCTTTGTTACTTTCTTTTTTTTAAAAAATAATTGCTTTTAATCTAGTGATAGGCTTACATTAAAGTCAACTTACTTATGAACTGTTATTAAGTGCTCTTTATTATCCTAAGTACATTGGGTTCTACACAGTAGAGCCATTCATTTATGCTTGGACAGGAGCTGAGTGATAGGAAACACAGCCTTCACTTCAGAGCGCCTCCAGCCAGAAGAACAACTTTCACTTACAGTATTAAGCACTAGAGATCAGAATCTTGTAATTGAGCTGGTGCTGGTGGTGCAGGCCTTCAATCCTAGCATTCAGGAGGTAGATGCAGGTGAATCTTTTGAGTTTATGGCTAACCTGATCTCCAGATAGAGTTCCAGGATAGCCAGGGCTGCCCAGGGAAACCCTGTCTTGAGAAACAAAAACCAAAAGAAGCAACAGTAGCTTATAAGTAACTTGGTAGTGTTTTTTCCCTTTTATTCTGTTTCTCAGGCCTAGGGAATCAAATTCAGGATCTTCTGCACTCTGCTACCAAGATACTCCTAGATTCGATTTTTTATTTTTTTATTTTTTTTGCTATTGTAATTTAAAATCTATTTTCCATAAATAAGCTTTGGAATTTAATTTAGTTTCTTCATATGTGTCTAACTGAATGCATGTGGGTCCCTGGTTCTTACATGGGATTTGGAAACACTCTGCAGATAGTGGTGGCTGGGGAAAATAGGATCAGCTTCTTCAGATGTACAGGTGAAGCCCTCAGATGAAAAGACCTCAAAACAATATACAAAAGTTGAAGAAAAGACTCCTGGCCACAATCAAGGTATCTCAGCATGAACTACAATTGGTAAAGAAGGGGATTTGGCCAGGTCTGGTAGTGCATTCCTGGGGTAGGTGCATCTCCGTGAGTTTACGATCAGCCTGGTCTGCATTGTGAGTTCTAGGTCAGCCAGGGCTAGAAAGCTCATGAGACTGTCTCAACAAAAAGAAAGAAAGAAAATGTGTTTTTAAAGTGCTACACTTCTTAGCACAGGTTGTTTAGTGTTGGTGCACTCAGGGTTCACGTGGCAAGGAGGACTCTTCCCTGGTAGGTTGTACTGTAGGAAATGCTTTTGTTCACTGCAAAGATTTGTCTTTCATATTGGTTTAATAAAACGCTGATTGGCCAGTAGCCCAACAGGAACCATAGGTGGGGCAACCAGACTAGGAGAATTCTGGGAAGAGGAAAGGCAGAGAGTCAGTCATTACCCAGACACAGGAAGCAAGATGAGAATGCCTACTGGGAAAAGGTACCAAGCCACATGGCTAAACATACATAAGAATTATGGGTTAGTTTAAGTTGTAAGAGCTAGTTAGTAATAAGCCTGAGCAATAGTCCAAACAGTTTATAATTAATATAAGCCTTTGTGTGTCTATTTGGGACTGAATGGCTGTGGGACTGGGCAGGCCAGAAACTTCTGTCTATAAGGTTGAAACAAACAATTAACTTAGGATCCTGGGAGCCTGAGAACTTGGCTCTGCTGCTAGGCTAGAACTTTTGTAAAAACTGCTTCTTGGTGATAGAACTGTGTCATTTAGAAGTAAATTGCCCTTTTCTTTTTTTCCAAATACAGGTTATATATTTGGGGAGGACTCCAGAAGATGCATATAGAACATTAATCTTTGGAGATACAGCCTATATTCCTTTCAGGTAAATGTGTAGATCTGTTTGTATAAATGTATAAATCTATAGACCAAATAGACCTACCTGATCTGTTTGGTCAGATCCTTACCAGGAAGTTCTTAGTGGTAATTCTTTTATCTTTTTAAATGAATTTTTAATTTTTTTTAACGCCTCGACCACAGTTTTCTCTCCCTCCACTTTTCCCAGTCTCCCCTTCACCAACTACCTCTCAGCCCCACCCCCATCCACTCCTCTATTTCTATTCAGAAAAGAACAGGGCCCCCCCCCCATGGTAAAACCCAAACATGGCGTCTCAAGTTGCAGTAAGACTAGGCAGGCGCTTCCTCTCTTATTAAGGCTGGACGAGGCAGCCAAGTAGGAGGAAGGGGTTCCAAAGGCTGTCAAGAGGTAGAGACAGCCCTTACTTCCACTGTTGAGAGTCCCACAAGAAGACCAAGCTGTCACATATAAATAGAGGGCATAGGCCAGCTCCATGCAGGCTCCCTGACTGTCAGTTCAGTCTCTGTGAGCCTCTATGAGCCCTGGTTAGTTGATTCTGTGGGTTTTCTTGACCCCTCTGACTCCTATAATTCTTTCCCCCTCTTGTGCAGGAATCCCTGTGCTCTTCCTAATGTTTAGCTGTGGGTCATCTGTTTCTGTCAGTTGCTGGATAAAGCCTATCTGATGTTTCTGATGTTAATTGGGCTTGACTCCAGTCTATGAGTATAGCAGACTATCAACCAATAGACATCATTACATTGACTTTTTTCTCTGCCAGTCGTATTTGGTTCTAGGTCTCTGTGCTCTCCAGCCTCCGAATCCTGGCACTCTAGGCAGTGTCCAGTGTGAGCTTCTCCTGGCATGGGTCTCAGACTGGACCGGTCAGTCACTGATTGGCCATTCCCTCAGTTCTGCTCCTCCTTTACCCCACCACATCTTGTAGGCAGGACAAATTGTAGGTCCGTAGTTATGTGGATGGACCTCCTCTGGAAGTCTTGGCTACAGGAGATGACCTGTTCAGGCTGCATATCCACTATTGCTAGGAGTCTTGGGGTGACCCTGTAGATTTCTTGGGAGGTTTTTTTTTTTTTCTTTTTTCTTTTTCTTTTTTCTTTTTTTTTCGAGACAGGGTTTCTCTGTGGCTTTGGAGCCTGTCCTGGAACTAGCTCTGTAGACCAGGCTGGTCTCGAACTCACAGAGATCCGCCTGCCTCTGCCTCCCGAGTGCTGGGATTAAAGGCATGCGCCACCACCGCCCCGGCTTCTTGGGAGTTTTCATTACACTAGGTTTCTCCCTCACCCCAAATGCCCCCCTCCAGTGTCTCTTCCAGTACTCTTCCCTCTCCATCTCCACCAACTTGATCCCTCCTATTCCCATCCCCACCCACCCGTCCATCTGTAAAGTCTATTCTGTTTCCCCTTCCCAGGGAGACCCAAGCGTCTCCCTTTGAGCCCTCCTTATTACTTAGCTTCTTTGGTTGGTTCTGTGGATTGTAGCATGATTGTTCTTTACTTTACAGCTGATATCACTTACGAAGTGAGTACACACCATGTTTGCCTTTCTGGCTCTGGGTTACCTCACTCAGGATGTTTTTTTCTAGTTCCATCTGTTTGTCTGCAAATTTCATGATGTCATTGTCCTTACCTGAGTAATACTCCACCGGGTAAATGTACCACATTTTCTTTATCCATTCTTTGATTGAGGGGCATCTAGGTTGTTTGTAGTTTCTGGCTATTACGAATTTAAAGCTGCTATGAACATAGTTGAGCAAATGTCCTTGTGGTAAGATGAAGCATCCTTTGGGTAGATGCCCAAGAGCTGGGTCTTGAGGTAGATTGAGTCTCAGTTTTCTGAGAAAACGCCATATTGGTTTCCTAAGTGGCTGTACGAGTTTGGTCTCTTACCAGTAGTGGGAGAGTGTACCCCCTTGCTCCACATCCTCACCAGCATGAGCTGTCACTTGTAGTTTTGATCTTAGTCATTCTGATAGGTGTAAGATGAAATCTCAGAGCCGTTTTGATTTACGTTTCCCTGATGGCTAAATGTGCTCAGTGTTTCTTTAAATGTTTGTCAGCCATTTGAGATTCTTCTGTCGAGAATTTTCTGTTTTAACTTTGTACCCCATTTTTTAATTGAGTTATTTGTTTTTTGTCGTTGTTGAGATACAGTTTTTTTGAGATACGGTTCGCATTGTCCCTTGATCCTCTTCTTTGCACCTCCCAAATTCTAGGGTTACAGGCATGCATTACCATGCCTGTCCTGTGGTTGTTAATAGCTCGCTTTGGATATCAGATAGAGAACTGGTTGTCAGCTTTGCTGTTGTCTCCTTTACAAACTTAAGCCTCCGTTGGTAATGAAGATAGGAACTATGGTACTGCCTACCTGCAAACAAGCAGATTTAGTGCCTGCTCTCACCCACTGTTTGATCAGTATTCATAGCCCTTTCTCTTTTTTTAAAGTTGTTGCATATTTGGAATTTGGAAAGGAAACACTAATGTAAACAGACATTGCATACATATGTGTACATGTGCACATGTATGTGTGTAGCACTTAGGAGTTGAACTCAGGCACTGCACAGGCACACACCACTGAGCCTAAACCCCATACAGCTGAGTCTTACACATGCATGTGTGACTGCCACACTTTGGGGTGTAGAACTTGGCTCTTATTCTCAAAGATTCCCTCTTGCCCTAGAGACTGCTCTTAGGTTACCTTTCCTGCTGTGTCTTAGACCTTTTGCTTTTGAACTCCCTGTGTTTAGAGTCCTCTAGTGTGCATCTTGAGGGGATGGCTCAGTGATTAAAGCAGTTGCTGCACAGGCCTGGAGACCAGGGTTTAGGTTCTCCAGTTCCCATGAATGCTGGGTGGGAATGACAACCTGCCTGCAATTCCTGCCTTGGAAAAAAAAGACAGTATATCCCTAGAGCAAGCTAGGCTAGCAAGGCCAGTCATGTAGGTGGACTCTGGGTTTGCTGAGAGATCTTACCTCAGTGAATAAGGTGGGCGAGCAATTGAGGGTGATTTCTGATGGCTCAGGTCAGGGTATTCATGAAGCAAGCATGTGTGTTCAGATAGGAGTGGGGCTTGAATAGAGCAGGCCTTGAGCCACCGTGGTTCTCAGAGAGATCGTGCATCAGATTCTTTGCAAGGTTGAATCGGCATGCCTTTAGCTGGGTTGGAGAATTGTCAATCACATTAAGGAATTATTGATAGTAGTTAACAGTTGCTGTCAAAGTCATTGTATTCCTGCACTTGGAGAGTTTCCTCTCTTCCCATTGATTGATATAGGGCTGGTGTATTTGACTGTCGGCTAATTGTGCACTTGCTCAGGTGTGGAGAGTTTTTTGTTTTGTTTTACCCAAAGGTTTGGATGCTCTTTTGCTCTAGTATTTTTATTGGAATTTTGACCCTTAAGAATTAGAAAGGGGTCAGGAGAGATGGCTTAGCAGTTAAGAGCACTGGCTGCTTTTCCAGAGGACCTGGGTTCAATTCTCAGTACCCACATGACAGCTCACTACAGTCTGTAATTCCAGTTCCAGGGAATCTTACCCCGTGTGCATAAAATCAAGTTAAATAAATTAAAAAAGAAAAGAATTAGGGAAAAGTTACCCAGTTAAATTGTTCAAAGTTGTGGTATAGCTGTGGGAACAAAATGCTTGGGTCTGTGCTTTAGAGATCATTGGCACATTGACTTCTAACCAGTTTTGTCTGGGGTGAGTATGCTGTAGAACATTAACAGAGTAACACTTTGGGAATTTCAGAGATGCTGCCTACGGAAGCTGCAGTTTCTATATTACACTTCTCGACTGTTTTCACGCAGTAAAGAAGGTGAGTGTCTTGGAGAAGATGAGGCGTTCTGCACAGTTCTGTTAGAATTTCTTCAAAAGAGGGGTGTGAGGTCAGAAGTATTCCATTCCCAGTTAACATTAAAGGGACCCCAAAGCGATAGCTCATTCTGAATTTCTCATTGCTTCTCTGCATGAATGGGATGGAAAAGCCACAGGCTGGGTTTGTCCGTTAGTTGGTTGAGCACTACTGTAGTGTTGACTGAGGTTTCTGTTCTGCCCGGTTCCCACAGCCATTAAAAAATCACAGAGAGGTCTACATTAATCATAAACTGATTGGCCCAGAGCTCAGGCTTTTTTATTAATTAATTTTTATAATTTATATCAGCCCACAATTCTTGTCTGCGTTAGCCACATGGCTTGGTACCTTATTTGTGTTGACCGAGGTTTCTGTCCTGCCCAGTCCTGTAGCCGTTTAGTCCCAAATAAATTCACCGAGGCCTATATTAATTATAAACTGATTGGCCTATTAGCTCAGGCTTCTTATTAACTAGTTCTTACATTTTACATTAACCCATTATTTTTATCTGTGTTAGCCACGTGTCTTGGTACCTTTTTTGGCTTCCTCTGAGGCTGGGTCACAACTGTAGACTGAGCTTTCCTCTTTCCACAGTTTTCCTGTTCTCATTGGCCCGCCTATACTTCCTGCCTGGCTACTGGCCAATCAGCATTTTATTAAAAATAATACAAGTGACAGGATAAAAGATCATTGTCCCATGGCAGTGTAGCATGTGAGAGGCTAAGGGTTCAACCCCAGCATCACAAAAATAAGGCACAAATAAGAGAGTTAAGTAATTCGGTTCTAGATACAGTATTAGTTTTGAGCGTGTCTGATTTAAAATAAAAAAGTTGAATACTTTTTTCTTCCAAGTTCTGTTTATATATCTGTAACATAGTAGCCGTGGGGCAGAGACTTGCTCAGTGACGTTGTTGGGTTAGCCTATACAATGTCCTAGGTCCCAGCCCCTGTACCAACAACACAGTAACATGAGACTCAGTTTTCTTTCCAGGCATTGAACTTTGAGTTCAACATTGTTACAAAGTTTTATATAAAAAAAGTGAGTCACAATTGCTTTCTCAGAAAGTTTCAGGGCTGGGGGTATGGCATAGGGCCCAGCAACAAATAAGCGAACAAAACTCCCATAGCCTTAGAAATCGCTCAGCATGAATTCATTGATACTTTCTAGGACGTTTCCTGGTGCTTAGTAGAAACTTGGGTAGGACGTTGGTTTTTTTGTTTATACCTTTGTTCTTAAAAAGTTTTCCTTTCGTATTTTAGGCAATGCAGTATGGCTTTTTAAATTTCAACGCATTTAACCTTGATGAATATGAACACTATGAAGTAAGTTCCGGCTCTTCTCAGACTCCCTGCCCCACACTGAAGTGCCCTTGATCGGCGTATCCATATTAGTGCACAAAGTAACGCTTTTAATTTGTTGTTACTGTTATTATTATTTATATGTGTGTGTATGATATGCATTGGTGAGCTTGTGAGGTCAGAGGACAACTTAGCAGAGCCAATTTTCTCCTTTCACATCTGCGTGGGTTCTGGGGCCCAACTTGTGGTCATTAGGCTTGTGTGGCAACTGCGTGACCTGTTAAGTCATCCCACTGGCCGGGATGATGTTTTGATGGATATGTGCTTGAGAAACGGGTCCCTGAGTCAAGCTCATTCACACGTGTGTTGTCTCTGCAGTGTGTGTGCTGAAAACATTTAAGATGTAGGAACAACTTGACAGCTGTGACTGGTAGTGGCTCACACCTTTAATCCCAACACTCGGGAGGCAGAGGCAGGTGGATCTCCATGAATTTGAGGCCAGCCTGGTCTACAGAGTTGGTTCCAGGACAGCCTGGGCTGTTACACAGAAAAACCCTGTCTCTTAAAAAAAAAAAAAATTCACAGCACTCAGGAGACAGAGGCCGATTTCTGAGTTTAATACGTGGTGAACAGGCATTCATTGGTATAGTCTTTGCAATGCTTAGTTTAAATTCTGTTTTTAGTCTTGGTGACCTTCCTGTAGTGGTGGGGTACAGGTTTTGAAGTCCTCAGTGTGGGCACAGAAAGGTAATTAGTTGCTGTGTCTGGTGACCGCCAAAGTATATTTGACTGATGTTAGAGCCGATTTGTATTGTCTGGACACTTCTGTTTCCAGTTATGAAAACTAAGCACAAATAACCAGGCCTGGTGTCAGACACCTTTAATCCCAGTACTCAGGTAGATCTCTGCATCTTTGAGGCCAGCCTGGTCTCATATAGTGAGTTTCAGGCCAGCCTGTAGTTTGAGGCTACGTAGTGACACCCTATCTAAAAACAAAAAGCCCCAAATGTTTTAGATAAAAGAGTGAGCCTTTTACTGGAATCCGCATGTTAAAAATCCAGGAACAGAGCTGGGGAGATGACTCAGTAGATGAAATGGTTATTGTGTAAGAGCGAGAACCTGATTTAGGTCTCAGCGCCCATAAAAGGAGCCCAGTGTGGCAGCAGACATCTTTAATGCCAGCACTGGGGAGGTACAGAGAGCAGTGTCCCTGGGGCCCACTGGTCAACTGTTTTAGCTGATATCGGTAAGCTCCAGATTCGGTGAGAAAACCTGTCTCAAAAAATAAGGTGGTGCAACCGATGTTGGGGTTCTAGCTGAAGATCAGAAAAGCAAAACAACCAAGCCACAGACAAATCATACCTCTTACAAGGCTGATGGGCTGCAGACTGAGCCTCTATCCCCCTCCCTTTTAGTGCTGGGATTAAAGGCCTTTGACTCCCTAGTACTGGCATTAAAGGTGTGAGCCACTACCACCTGGATCTGTTTCTGCATTGATCTTGTTTAGCCCAGGTAGCCTCTGTCTCCCAAATCCTGTGATTAAAGGTGTGTGACACCACTGCCTGACCTCTAGTGGCTTAGTTTTACCTTCTGATCTTCAGGTAAGCTTTATTTATTAAAACATAAATAAGTATCACTATAAGGTGGAGAGGAAGTCGACCTCTGGCCCACACACATACACACATACACACACATACACATTTGCGTACACAAGCACAACACACGCTCACGTGGGAATGTGGATTATTATTACCAGACTGAAGTCTCTTCTAGGAGCTCTGGTCCTGGCCTACCCTATCAGATAAAGAAGATGGGGCAGGAGAAAGTGTCCAGGCAGGAAAATTCACAGATATCTTTAAGTTATATATCTTTTAACTTAAAAATAAAAAAAAAAAAAAACCAGAAAATCCTCGATTCTAGACGCCCTCATCCAAACAGATGAGTAAGAGGAAAGCTGTCGTTACTTTGAGGAGAGGAGGCTCTTTAGACCATACTCCATGCATTCATATCCCAAGTCCGTAGGTAATTAGCTTTTGCTGTCGGTTTCTAAAGAGCTTTTATTTAGAAGTCTGAAGTAGAATTGAAGTGTTTTGTTGACGATCTGGGCTGTTTTCATGGCAAAGATAGAGCAAATCCTTGGGGTTCGCTCATGGCAACTGTGTCCTCCTTGTGATGCCAATGAGTAAACCAGGCAGGCATGGCTGAGACCTGTAATCCCAGCACTTGAAAGAAAGAGACAGATGATTCCAGGGGTGGACCAGACCAGCCTAGTTAGTGTTTGCAAGCTCTGGCTTTAGCAAGAGACCGTGTCCCAACAAATGAAGCAGAGAGTGATTGAACATCAGATGTCAACTTTGGGCTTCCACACATGCGAACACGCACACATACGTGTGCACCATACACACTTAAAAATACTTTTTCTAGGTGTATGAAATATTAAAATAGCAGTTGGCACATGAAGCGCGGTGTTTCTTCTACTGCAGTTGAGTGATTTTTTTTCTCTCTCTTGGTGCTGATTCTCTCTGTCACAGTCAATTGCCTTTTGTTTCTTTAAAAGTCTTATTCTGCCAGGTGTGGTGGTGTATGCTTATAATCCCAACCCATGGAAGTCAGTGGCAGACAGAGCTCTGTTGAGTTGAAGGGCATCCTTGTTTACATAGCAGGTCGAGACCATCCAAGGTTACAGTAAGAGCAAGGTGGACAGCGCCTGAGGAACGGCACCAAGGCTGTGTCTGTCCTCTGCGCACACACACACACACACACACACACACACACACACACACACACACACCATAAAGTGTTTTCTTGCTTCCCTCTTGTTAAATGGAAGCAGTGGAGACCGTGCTTCTATCTAACACATTCCCTGTTTTTCCTCAGGGAGTCAAAATTAAAATTGTTTACATAGCAAGTTACTCGTCTGTTTAGGATAATGGGTAAGAGACCTTTTAGAGTCCTTATACACTAGACACATTTGCTTCCTTACTAGGAATTAGTATCCTATCATAAGAATTTTTTCAGATAAAATAACCAGGTAGTTGAAGTATAGTAATTGAGTACAGAGTATGTTTTCTAGGCTGATGACCCAAGCAAAGAAATACTTTTAAAACAAAGTGATTGACACCAGGAAGGTTAGCCATCCCTTGGGAATACCCAAAGCAAGGCACAATAGATTTCTGTCTTGTGCTCACTAATAAACAACAACATGCTAACGCCAGTGGCTTGGAACTCTGAGAGTATTGAGAAGGGAGGTGGAAGGAGATGGGGTTCAAAGGTTATTTGTCCTGGTCTTCCTTTGCAGAAAGCAGAAAATGGAGATTTTAACTGGATAATACCAGAGCGGTTTCTTGCCTTCTGTGGACCTCATTCAAGATCGAGGCTTGAAAGTGGTATGCAAAACTATGGAACCATTGTAGCCTTTGGAAATGGAAGCACAAGCTGGGCATAGTAGAGTGTGCCTGTTCTCTCAGCTGTTTGAGAGTCTGAGTGAGGCAGGAGGAAGAGTCCTGAGTTCTGGTGTGCTGTGGGGTTGGCTGCCGGTATTGCCATGGTCACCTCTGAGAATGACCCAGCCCAGCTTAGAAAGAGACGAAAGAATTAAGCTAAGCTTGACTCAGTCTGTATGATTTAACCACTCTTGGTGGTTATTGGAGCGCATTGTTTTGCCTGGATGTTAACTTTTTACAACTTTTGTGTTTTACAGTTATAATCAAATTGGTATTCAGTCCCCAATCCAGACACTGTTTCCACCCTCTTTCAGGTGAAACTATTTTTCATTCTTTCCTTCCTGCATTTTACAAGATGTGGTGCGTTTCTTTATGTAGGTTACCACCAACATTCTCCTGAGACTTATATTCCATATTTTAAGAATCACAATGTAACTACCATTATCCGTCTGAATAAGAGGATGTATGATGCTAAGCGCTTTACGGATGCTGGTTTCGATCACCATGATCTTTTCTTTCCGGATGGCAGCACCCCTGCTGAGGCAATTGTCCAAGAGTTTCTCGATATTTGTGAAAATGTTGAGGGTGCCATTGCAGTGCACTGCAAAGGTAAGCGGCTGGGCTGGGTTAAAGAGCAGTGTACACGGATGAGTACGTGTGGAGATACATGTCACATACGCTTGTGTTACAGGGAGAGACATACGACACTGTGTTTTTGAAAGAATGGTTTAAAGTTTTTCTATGACATTATCGTGTGTGCGTGCGTGCGTGTGAGCGTGTGTGCGTGAGCGCGCGTGTGTGTGTGCGTGAGCACGTGTGTGCCTAGCGCGTGTGTGTGCGTGAGCATGTGTGTGTGTGTGTGTGTGTGTGTGTGTGCGCGCGTGAGCACGCGTGCGTGTGCGTTCTCTTACCATATAGTTTCTGGGGATGAAGCTCACATCGTCAGACTGATAGCAAGTTACCAGTGGATCCATCTCACTGGCCAGAAAGAATAATTTTAAAACCCTACAATCATGAAAAGCATAGTAAATTATTTTCATGAATAAGCCTACAAAGGCTTATCACATTGAAATGGTGCATTTATTCAAATGTCTGTCGTGTGCCTATGTGGTAAGTCCTTAGGTTGTCAGTGATAGAGCAAGGTCTTACTGTGTGGAGAATAAGATCTGACGATGTATTTCAGCAGCCGTAGCAGTTTCTCATACTAAATGTTCCGTGAATGACTGTAAATGACGCACTGTATGGATATAGTAGAGTTTATTAACTTTAATGTGAACTGGTTAAGGAGGCAAGGGATATAATCACTAAGAAAAGTTCAATAGCAAGATAAAGAAAAAATAAAGCAACCACCAAATTAATTTCTGGAATTAAAACTGTATCTGTAGTTAGGAGTCGAGCTATAACCCCAACATTCAAATGTTCATTTTGCAGTGGAAGATGACAAGGCATACCAAAAAGTAAAGTGGAAGGGGAGCCAGGAAAAGTATAAAAAAATCCACAAAAAATACCCTTGAGTTGAACAGTGGTGGTGCACACCTTTAATCCCAGTACTTGGGAGGCAGAGGCAGGCAGATCTCAGTGAGTTCGAGGCCAGCCTGGTTTACGAAGAGAGTTCCAGGACAGCCAAGACTATTCCATAGAGAAATCCTGGCTCGAAAAAACAAAACAACAACAAACCAACCCCCCTCAAAACAAAACAAAACAAAACTATCCTTGACAAGGATCAGATAGTGGATTCTCTAGATGATTTAACACAGCACCCTCAACGGTGCTCACGGTGAAAAGAAGGGGGGGGGGAGTGGAGGGTGAGCAAAATCTGAGTGTCAATAGAAGACAAAAACCACAAAGTGAACCCAAAAAGCAGTTCTGAAAATACATTTAAAAACTTACTGACAGGGGTTGGGGATTTAGCTCAGTGGTAGAGTGATTGCCTAGCAAGGGCAAGGCCCTGGGTTTGGTCCTCAGCTTCAGAAAAAAAAAAAAAAAAAAGACAAAATAACAAAATACTTACTGACAGGGTTCCAAAGCAGACTTGCTCAGGCAGAAGGAAGAAGCAGGATGGTTAAGAGCAGAACAAAACCATTAAAATGTCACCAGGCAGGGACTGGAGAGATAAGAGCACTGGCCACTCTGGCTGCTCTTCCAAAGGACGTGGGTTCCATTCCCAGGACCCTCATGGCAGTTCACAACTGTCTGTAACTCACATTCCAGGGGATGTGCAGCCTCACACAGACATACATACAGCTAAAGCCCCAATATACATTTGAGAGAGAGAGAGGGGGAACAAAAAGTCACCAGGTCTAGCAGAGTTGTGGGATGGCGCCCATAAGACCAGCTCCATTGTGTGGAGGAAGCCCCAGCAGAGGGGAGGGAGAAAGGAGGCAAACTCTTGGCCTGGAAAATTTTCCCACTTTGATGAAAGACATGATTGTAAGTATTCTCCAAACTCAGCAAACTCCAAACGAAACCGACACAGAAACTCGCGTGAAGATACATTATAATGATACTGTCTAAAGTCAGACACTGGAAGAAGCACTAGAGGAAATTCTGCTAACGAGATCTCCCGTTAGAAGCCGTGGAGACCAGAGGCAGTGAATTGTTAATAATCCAATTGCTGAAGGAAAAACCCTACAACCGAGAGTCCTATACATCTTCAGAACTCCCTCAAAAATAAGGAGAAATTAAATCACCCTTAGATGGTCACATGCTGGGGGAACTGTTACAACTTGACCTGTGCTCTGTTGGGTGGAGTGGAAAGACCCCAGCAGGTATTTCTGATAGAGGTAAATATGCACGCGGACAGTTAAAGACTAGTAATAGCTTTTAAGTATTGTCACTATTGTAATATAAATATTGTAGCATTAAAAAGATTGGAAACCAGTACAAAAATCCAGGATTGGTTCTGCACAAAGTCTAATAAAAATCACAAACCTTTAGTTATATTGATGAAGAGAAAGGAGAAAAGGCTCAGATTATTAAATCAAGAAGTGACGGTGGGGACACTAACGGAGAGTCTATAGAAATGCCAAGAGGACCTGAACTTGGATCCATGTGTACAAGTTAGGCAAGGCTGAATGTACCTATAATCTCTGCATGGGGCTTGGGGCACACAGGAAGATCGCTGGGCATAGCAGCCTGTCAGCCTAGGTGAAACCAGCAAGCTCTGGGATCACGGAGACACCATATCTCAAGGGTCTGAGGTTGAGAGTGATAAAGATTACTATGAGCAGTTGCAGAACAGAAAATTAGGTAATGGAGATAAAATGGAAAATTCCTGGAAACACAAAGCCTACCAAGACAGAGTTTCCGTGAGACATAGACGGTGGGTTTAAAGTCTACAACGCAGAGAAGGTTGAAATGAAGCGAAGTTTCCAGGTGAAGGAAAAACACTGGACCGTGCTTATCCCCGTGAATAACACCGATTCTCAGAGACTTACTCAAAATTTAGGAGAACGAAGACCACAAGTTGTTGTATGAGGCTCGGATTGCCTTGCTCCCAAGCACAAACAAAGAAGCCGTAAGGTACTGTCAACATTGTAAGCATCCTGAACAAGTGCTGTGGTACGCACTGCAGTCCTAGCGTTGAGGATCAGAATTCAAGATTATCCTCAGCCACATTGTGAGTCTGAGGCCAGTCTGGGGTACAGGAGATAATATGATACAGTAAAATATTATGCACGCTAATAAAGTGTTTGTCCTGGAGTCACAGAAGTAGTGCAACATAGAAAAGCCGATGTGCATCTCCACAGCAACAGTGAATTCCAAAACCCACATCATCAGCTCTGCTAATATGGGAATGGCATTTGATGGAATTCAGCCCCTCCCTTTTGTGATAAAACCACAGAGAACAAAGTAGGCCCAGAAGGAAAGTGTCTCAACATAATAAAAGCCGTGTATAAAAAGCCCACAGCCGCTGTCACCCTGTGGGTTGTAAGAGACAGAAACTGTTCGCCGCTTGCTCTAATCTGGGGTGGTTTTCCTAATAGCTGCTTCTGTTCTCTCCCATATAATTCCAGTTCCAAAGCCTCTGCCACAGTTTCATGTATTTGCTTCATGGGACCCCATTTCTAAATCGTGGGGATCAGGGAGGGTCCTCTAGAGAGTGAAAGCAATAGCGTGTTTATATATAGCATGGGTTATTAAAAGAAATTGTGGAGTCGGTGAGTCCATCCGTCATCTGTACTATGAGCTGCCTGCCTGGAGGCGTGAAGACAGACCTGCTTTTGGGTGGAAAGAAAGCTAGTCTTTTTGTTCTGTTCAGACTTTGAATGGTTTGGAAGAGTGCTGCCCACATTATGGAAAGCAGTATGCTTGCTAAAAATGGCACCAATTGAAATGCTGGTTTTTAACCAGAAATTCCTTCCAAGTTGACACAGACCAAAGGAGTTAATCATGATGGGCTCTGTAGGAGGAGAGAAGGCCAGGAGGTGACTCAGCATCTAACGTTCTGCCACACCAACCTGAGACTGGAGTTCAGAACTCCTCGACACACAAACGCTGGGTGGTCATGTAGCTCACCGGTAGTTAATGCGATGGAAGAGACAGGATTTCCACACTAGCTAGCCAAACCAGCCATTTGGGTGAGATCTGTCAGGTTCAATTTAGAAAGCCTGCCTTAGTAAGGTGGGGAGCAATGAAGGAAGACTCTTAGACTTCTACTTAGGGCTTCCTCATGCATGTGCCCCCTGAAATGCAACCATACGTACACACTCACATGCACACCACATACAGAGAGACACACAAAATGGGGGAAAGAAAAGGAAAAGAGTTGAGGGTATATTTAGGGCGGAGTGCTTGTCTACCATGTCCAAGCACCCCTCAGCTAAAGCAGAGCGTGAACAGTTACGGAGGCCGAGAAAGTGATACTGTTGGATTTGATAGCGAATGTAAGGCTTGGGCAGAAAACACTTCTTAAAAGTTTATTTTTATTTGTGTGCATGTATGTGGTTTTTGAGCCAGAGAGTGTCTGATCTCCTAGAAATGGAGTTACAGGCAGTTATAAGCCACCTGGTAGTGGGTGCTGGGAACTGAACCTGGGTCTTCTGTGAGAGCACTGAGTGCTTGTAGTACAAATAACTTTCTTTTCTTTTTTTTATTTTAGACAAAAAGGGGAAGTATAGTGATATTTTATTTGTGTTTTAATAAATAAAGCTCATCTGAAGATCAGAGTGCAAAGCTAGCCACACCAGTCAGCCATATAGGCCAGGCAGTAGTGGCACACACCTTTAATCCCAGGAGCCACAGTAGTTAGCCACAGAGGCTGGGCAGTGGTGGTACACCTCTAATCCCAGCACCAGAGAGGAATATAAGGCGGAGGAGACAGGAACTCACCCTTTTCAGTCTGAAGATTTCACAGAGGTAAGAGCTCAACGATAGTTTGCTTTTCTGATCTCCAACTTGCACCCCAGTATCAGTCTCTGGGTTTTTATTATTTGTGCTACAAGTGTTCTTTACCATTAGGTCTCCTCTCCAACACCACATTTAAGAATCCCTGTTCAGAAAACGAGCCTCAGTCTTTGGCTTCACATCAAATCCTCTGGGGATTTTAGAAGGATCCAGTCTCTGTTCCTAGGCTGCATCCCACTTAGGTCTTGAGGATGAAACCTGGTACTGCCCTTTTTACAGACCTCTTAAGACTGACTCAGAGAACCTCTGTGGAGGGAGGCAAAACCCTGGGAAGGCTTTAATATTTTTGCTTTTTTTTTTCTTCTTCTTCCTGTTCCAAAAATTCTGGAGGATGTGCAACCAGGTTTCATGGATTGTTTGTTTTTCTAGCTGGCCTTGGCCGAACAGGTACTCTGATAGGCTGCTACCTCATGAAGCATTATAGGATGACGGCAGCCGAAAGCATTGCCTGGCTCAGAATCTGTAGACCGGGTTCTGTGATTGGGCCCCAGCAGCAATTTCTGGTCATGTAAGTACCCTGGAAGCTTGTCTCCTGTAATAGGAGTGTGAGTAGGGGCGGGGGATGGGAGGGCGTCCTTAATTGGAAAGCTGTATTTTCTTGTTGTCTAAACACCCTAGGAAACAGTCAAGCCTCTGGCTGGAAGGCGACTATTACCGCCAGAAGTTGAGAGGGCAGGAGAATGGACCCCTCAGAGCAGCCTTCTCCAAACAACTCTCGGATATTGACGACATTTCGATAAGTGGGCTTGAGAATCAAGACAATCAAGAGCCAGAGCCGGTAATGGAACCGTCCCGGTCACGCTGTTGTTATTGCTGTAAATGCTGTTGAGATCCTTGTAGGGCATGGAGAAAACCATAGGTAAAGATAATAAGTGACCTCTCGGAGGGCTGCCACCACACAGTTGTGTTAAGATACAACCCTCTCTAGAAGTGTTTGACTGGAAAGAAAGTTGTGTGCTCGTAGAGTGTCTTACTTCCTAAACACAGATGGAAATGAGCTGTAGGGAGCCATCTTCAGATGGATCTGGTCACTCCCCCGCCCCAGCGTCCCATCCTCTTAGCCACTTTAGAGGTTCAAATGGAGAACTTTCAAAGAGCTGCAGTTTCAACAGGCAGCAGTACTAGGTTAAGGGTAATGAATGAATATCCAAACTGTTACAAGTTCTAGTACCAAAAGCCTATTATGTATCTTTACTATTTTACATATGAGGGCTTTGGGTCCAGTGACTCCAAAAGTCAGCTTTGATTGTCTTGAAATATATGGCTGATAGTTTGATTTTTGAAAACTCTTGTAGCATTCAGAAGAAACTTAAAGTATGTGTGTTTGCATGTGCGCATGAACACACACGCCTCTCTGAGTGTTCACCCATGCCTCTGAGTGTGTTTGTTATGAGCTTGCATGTTTCTGTGTGTGTACATGTGTGCATAAATGAATACATGCTGTGTGTGTGTGTGTGTGCATGCCTGTGTGTGTCTGGATAAGTAGCCACTTTGCCTCAGTAGGAACCTAAGTTAAGAACTCAGTGTTTTCCTTCTCTGTTGCTGTTGCTTTAATCCACACAGTATAGTGATGATGATGAAATCAGTGGAGTAACACAAGGAGACAAGCTTCGGGCCCTGAAAAGTCGGAGACAGTCCAAAGCCAACACTGTCCCCCTCACGTGAGTGGTTTTCCTTCACTGTGCTCATCCTCGTTTATGTTATGTAGGTTCCTAGTGGATGTTTTTCCTGCCTTCTTTTCTCCCTAGCTGTACACCTGTGATGCAGTGATCACACGTGTGATTTAAAATCTATAGGTGCTCACCTGGGAAGCGCTCATCTCTGGGTGCAATTGTAAGCCTTAGGAGCCATGATAGGTAAGAAAACGATATCAGCAAAGCTTTTGTCCAGAGACAGTCCGCTGTGACACCCTCAAGAGAGGAACCGCAGATGTCAAGACCAGGATAACAGAGTTGGCCATAGTTATTAAGATGACTACATGTCAGTCCTCAGTCTGCACACAGTAGGATGGAGTCAGTTGTCATGTGACGTCTTAAAATCATGCTCATCCCCAAATTATGTTCTTATAATTTTTTTTTTTTTGGTCTGGAAAATTAGTTTCAAATTGTCGACAGAGATTTAGTACAATAAGAAGTTTTATAGTGGGTGTCTATCCCCACGTGGACTTCTTAAGCACCGTGTTAATTTGGCTCCAACTACAGGGAATAAATTTGTGTACAAATACAGGAACTCAAACTATGTAGCCTCCTTGCAGCTCTCCACACACACAGCTGAGCTTTTGAGTCATGTGGGAGCTTACCTTATTAATGCAACTTCTAGTTGGAACTTTTGGGGTGGGATTCTTATTTCTTTTTTTTTTTAATTAATTTATTTATTATATATATACTTTTCCAGAGAGTGCGCCAGATCTCATTACAGATGGTTGTGAGCCACCATGTGGTTGCTGGGAATTGGACTCAGCCAGTGCTCTTACCTCTGAGCCATCTCTCCAGCCCTAGGATTCTTATTTCTAGCAAGCCTCCTTTCCTGCCCCTTACTCCTGGCCTGGTAGGTGGGTGGGGCACGATACCCTTTGAATTGCAAAGCCTAGGAAGCGAATGCTTCTGTAGGTTACACACACCTTTTGTGCTAAGACTGTCCATTGCCAGTTTAATTTTTAATAGATTGTTTTATTCCTTATTCAGAAGCCAGGTCAGAAGGTAGGGGATACAAATTCTGCTTGGTCAAAGGTTCTTGTTATCAGCTAGAGAGATGGCTCAGTTGCTTGAGAGTACTTGCTGCTCTTGCCGAGGCCCCAGGTTTGCCTCCCAGCACCCTGATCAAGCAGCACACAATCACCTGTAACTCCAGCTCCAGGGAGCCTCTCCTCTCTGCAGGTGCGCACACACACACACAAATAAAAAGATAAATCCTTTAAAAAAAAAAAACTGTTCTTGTTAAATAGAACTTTCAGGAAATGTTACCTTCTCCACTCTTTAGATCTCTTTCTTAGGGACGCTGAGATTATGTACTTCATAGCTTTGGGTGTATGGAGACTAAAATTTAAAGACCTTTGGAACTGGCAGAAGATGCCAGGTGTCCCTCCACTCAGCAGGGTATGAGACTGGGCTAGACGGATGCTGTTCTCAATGAATGAAAGCCACCAGAAGGGTCGGGATGAGCTCAGTGGGAGGGTGCTTGCAGGGGGCTGGGATTTAATCCTCTTCACTGCTGGAAAAGGAGGAGAGGGAAGGAAGAAAGGAGAGAGGGATTTAGGAAAGTCTGGGTGAAAAGACTGGCCTTCTCTGCCGGCATTTGTTTAGTTATACCCTTCCCCCACTGGGATTGAAAAGAACAAAAGAATGGTAGATGCCCAAGCTTTTACTGTAGCTGTGTTTAAAATAATGGAAAATTTTAATTAAAATAATGGTATTATTTAGGCTCAACTCACAGTGTAATTCATCGTGGTGGAAAAGTCAGGGCAGGAGACCTGGTCACATGTCATTTGATGCTTGTGTGTGCTCAGCCAACTTTCTCCTTCTGGGGATGGCACCACTTGAGGAGGGTTCCATCTCAGTTAATCTTAGATAACGTCTTGCCTCTTGGATGGATAATCTATATCCCGTCAGGTTGACAGTATTGACCACCAGATGGCCCGTCACTCGGTATGCCACTAACTTTCTGTGTTAGATCTCCAGGAAAGAGATCTGTGTTAGATCCGCACGGAGGCGGGGTTGCAGTTACGTCCTACGTGGTCATAAGGTTTCAGAAGCATACAATCACTTTAGAAAAACCACTTAAATCCAACAGTGCAAAAAAGACAAGTGAACATTTCAACAAAGAAAAGTACTCTTAAGCTTTGAGTTTTACCAGAGGAACAAATGAAGATCTCTAGTGCAGACACCCCGCTTGCATGCCGCTACCCACTGAGATAACATTGTAGTCAGTACTGTAAGTGAAAATAAGGTGGAGAACAATTGAGAAAGACCCTGGCATTGACCTCTGTCTTCCACATACATCCACACAGGCGTGTGCTCACATGTGAATACCTACAGCACACACACAAGAAACTGGGTATGTGGTGCACACTTGTAATCCTAGCACGTTAGCACTTGAAGGTAGCGGTAGGAAGATCAGAAGTTCAAGGTCACACTCAGCTACAGAGTAAAGTCAAGGCCAGCCTGGGCAATAGGACACTTTGTCTTAAGAAAGAAGGGAAAATTAGGAAAAAGGAAAATTAATATTAAATTTTGGGTGTGTATTAGTCACTTTTCCATTGCTATGATACACACCATAACTGAGGCAGCTTAGAGAAGGAAATGTGTGTTTGGGGTTTTTGTTCCAGGGGGTTGGAGTCCATCAGTATCACAGGGAAGCCACAGCATGCATGGTGGCAGGCCACCTGGGAATAAATAGCAAGAGGCTTTGAAACCTCAAAGCCCACTCCCAATAACATAGTTTCCCCCATCAAGGCCACACCTCCTACAGCTACCCAAACCATCTAACCAACTGCAGACTAAGCACTTAAACTCCCAAGGCTGTGAGGTCCGTCTTTTTCAAATCACCTCAGGTTGTGTAAAGAAAACAAGGAACCACGCATATCGTGGCCACAGTAGTGAAGTTGATGGTTTCTGGTCAGGTCTGCTTCTGTAATCCCTGCTGTCAAGACTGCAGATCACCTGGACTTCCAACTAAAACTCAGTTCCCTGTTCATAGCCACGCCTCCTGATCTTGTCAGCCGGCTGTGGGTTGTTTCTGCCTCCTTTTCTCCCGGTGCTCAGGTGTAGAGTTTTGTATGAGCATACTGTGTATTTGACTATGGTCAAATATGTGTTGTTAAGTCAGGATGGTGGGGTGGTTATCCAGCCAGACATGGAGTCTAACCATTTGTTCCTGTGTGCTAAACTAAAGTCAGCATTTTTGTCTCAACAGAAATTGGACCATCACCACCACCACCCTCCTTTCCCACCCCTTTGCCATCACAGTTGCTGCTTTGGGACTTTTAGGGTATCTCAAAGCCACAGGCAGCTCTGTGTTTTATTTCAGGATTTGTTTTGGCTTCCCAATGTGAACATCTGTTCTTTCCCCTTCGCCCTTTCCAGATGTCCCCTAGCTGTGCTGACCTCTGCACTGTGTAGTGTTGCCATCTGGTGGATTGTGTGTGACTACATCCTTCCCACCCTGCTGTTCTGTCTTGATGGCTTCAGAACACAGTAGCCATCCGGACCCTTTGACAGATAGTTTGCTGTGTAAGTTTCTTGTTCCCGTTTCTCTCCTGCCTTCCCCTGTTGTCCAGCGTGGTTTTCAAGGTGCATGTGTTTCTCCTTCTGGCTCTCCTGGCTGTTTTGGTTTGCTTATTTTCCAGGGGTCTCTTTCTGAATCTTTTCCATGAATTGCATGGTGGTAGCAGCAGGGGGTGGGGCGGGGCCTCAATGATCCTTTGAAGCCAAGAATGTTGAAAAATGACACCCACTTTTGAAAGTTGTGCTAGTTATTTATATAAGTGGACTTTGGAATAGTTCTCTTTCCTGTAGAAATGTTTGGGTAGTTGGCCTGATTTGTGTGATCTCCTTTCTACCAGGGTCTGCATACTCCTCTCGTGTTCTGTACCTTGAGTGTGTCTCCAGTCAGAAGGGTTTTATCTCCATTCTTATTTTAGCAAAGATTGGGTTTGTAGCATGGAGGGCTAGCGAGGACTGTAGCGTGATTTCTGCCCATGGAGCATCTCTCTTCAGGTCCCCTGTCTTTGGTGGTAGAGCACACACGGTCATGTTGCATCCTCCTCTGTGTTGAGTGAGACTAGGAGACAGAGCTGGCTGTCTCCTTCCTGCTCAGGTTTCCACCTTACCGTCTCTAGACTCTGCCTTCTTCCTTTCTCAAGCGTAGCTAGACTGTCTTTATTAGATTATGTACCCAGGTTTGTAGTCTCTTGAGATCTGTCATCTTCTTTTCAGCAGAGTGTTGCAAAAAACACCCATGTGGAGCACTACAGTTGAGACCCACAGAGGGAGACTTTGTCCCACAGCAACAACACCCCAAATCTGTCTGTTTTCCGTAACCTTTCTTCTGTTCATTCGAAAAATGACTCTTCTTGTCCCAGATTGGACTTAGAAATTACCAAAGCATTTGGAATTCCTTTCTAGGATCTCTTCCAAAGTAAAAGTGCATTGCAACCAACCCTGGTCCTTTGTGGTTCTGTTGAGTGTTTTCATATGACTGAGAAAAATAAAAAATTAATCAGAGCCAATTCTTGAAGATTAAAGAAAACCTACTGAACACATTTTTATTTATGGCATTTTCTTGAATATCTTAGGTGAATTTATAGTCTTACATTCACACTCAGGTTTCTATAGAATTAAAAAAAAAATTTTTTTTTTTGCCTCTTCTGTCAACTGAAGAGCGGTGTTGCCTTTTATAGTTCCTCTCAGACCATTCCAAGTGGCCAGGATGTTCTGAGTGGGTGGAGTTGCTGCTAATAATATTTGTCTTCAGGCTCAAATGTCTTCAACTTAAGTGTTTGCTTCTGCTGGGGATTTCCTCCTCGGCGTTCTCTGCCAGACAGTTAGGTCTGTGAGGTCCGTCTTTTTCAAATCACCACACTTCAGGACCTAAGCAGGGCATTCCATTTAGCCTGCCTACTGATTTGAACTTACAAAAGCAAAAGCCTTTCCGTAGCTGATCTTCATAGCCATCTGTGTGATCTTTGTAGCCACTAGTTCCTGGTCACTTTCTTCCAAAGAGGCTTCATTTGTGGGTGATGGTCTGTTGCTGTGAGCTGGTAAGAGAGCCTTGCCTAGCAACCGTTAAGACTCCATTAGCTGGTTGTGTGGAACCTAATCCAGAAAGCATTTAGTGTTCTATGTCTAGTGCATGCATGGGGGGCGGTGTTGCTAGAGAAGGTTGGAGGGTTTTGTGGGGCATCATACAAAAAAACTCTGTGGCAGTCAGTGGTCCCTTAGAAAGCCGGCCAGGCGTTTGGAGGCTCAGAGAACACACTGGTCAAGCATTTGGTTTTGGTTTTTTGTTTGTTTGTTTGTTATATTATAAACTTTGGTATGGCTCATCATTTGCTTTTTGTTTTTATTTTTTAAACTTTGCTGTGTCTCTCACATGGTCACTGTCTGAGATCTGGAGCAGCTGAGGCTCCATAGACACCACAGAGAGGGCACTGGTCTATGGTTTGGGCACAAGTTGAGGAAGACCAATGCAAATTTTATTGGGAAAAAGGGGAGAAAAATGTATATTCTGCATATTGCTTGGGAAAAGCCAGGTGAGGAGAGCAGGTGGCAGAGGGAAACACCTGAGTTTGGCTTTCCTTGCCCTGTCTGAGTTCACGTTAGCCTCTCGCTGGTAATATGTCAGCGTGGTTCTGGAGCTTCCCACTGTACTGATGTGCTCACTGCTCACTCGGGTCAGATAACCTGAGGCTTCTCTGGTGTGGTTAATACATACTGAATTTCCTTCTGAGCGTCAAAATTCCACAGAAATTAGTAACTGCTAATATCACTTTCACATTCATTTATACTGTTTTATAGAAAAATTAATGCTCTAAAAATTTATTTTCAGTCAGCCTAAGAAATAATTATTGACTGAGTTGCAATTCTTTGTTTGCTTTTTGTTTTTTGAGACAGAGTTTCTCTGGGTAGTCCTGGAGCTTGCTCTGTAGACCAGGCTGGCCTTGAACTCACTGAGATCCACCTGCCTCTGCCTCCCAAGTGCTGGGACTAAAGGGGTGCACCACCAGTGCCCAGCCTTTTTGGGGGATGCGGGTGGGATGGGGGGGGGTTGTAGTTCTTCATGTTGTATAGCAGTTAAACTTTCAGTTTCAGTTTTAAGAAACCAGGAGCATATTTCCTGAGCAGGTGGTGCACTGGTTTTTTGGTTTTTTTTTTTTTTTTTTTTTTTTTTGTGCTAATGATCTTACAGTACGGTAGTTACCCTCGCTTTTGACCTCAAATGATTTGAAATAGAGGAGTGACATTTCAGAAAAATCCAGTCTCATCTTTCTCTTTTGTCAAGAAGCCATAGAGGAGAATCAACTATACACACTGCCCAGAAACCTGGAAAAATCAAACCAAACCTGGTGGATTTGGTTGCCTTTATGCAAATTCTAGATTCATATCCTTAAGAGAAATAAATAAATATTTCCTTCTCGATTTGTATTAGCAGAAAGAAATTTTAGCAGTTGGATGGGAGAAGTAGTATCACTATTCTGTATAGCCCAGTATGGGTAACTGGTTGACAACTGACAGAATTTCTTAAGGCGAGGGGCCTTGAAGGTTTCCATCGCTAGGGGTGATGGATGAGGCCGGGCTGAGTCAGCTCCTCCATCTTACTGTTATACACATACTGAAGTGAGTCCTCGTGCCCAATAAATATGCGGGATTATGATGTGCATCCTCAATTGTTACGTCATTCCTTAAAAAGAACTTTCACTAAATCCTGTTTTGGGTATCTGGGCTCATGATGGTTCCTTCCTGAGTCACATTTGTGCGTGCACCTACTGTTTCTACTTAGAGTATTTCAGGTCAGTTGTGTGACACGGGCAGATTCAGCCAGGGCCTCCATTGCCTGTGAAGTTGCAGGGCTTTCGGAACAACAGTGGGTTGACAGGCTCCGCTTGTTCTCACTCTATTGTGAGCCAAGCAGTGAGGCGTTTGGGTGCCGTTACTGTGAGCAGTCCACCATCATCAGAACTTCGGAACGTGTGCTTCATTAGGAGGACCAGTTGTTATCAATCATCCTGGCCATGACAGGCTTGTGAAGCAGACTCCTCCAGAGCTGAAAGGACTTATTTTTACTCCCTGGAGCTGGTCTCTTGCAGATTGTTATTGGCTCTCCCAACTGTAGTTTGACGTAAAAGGAGGGAGCCCACTCTACCCCCAGACACGGTTTCTCTGTGTAGCCCTGGCTGTCCTGGAACTCGCTTTGTAGACCAGACTGGCCTCTAACTCACTGAGATCCACCTGCCTCTGCCTCCTAAGCTGTGATTAAAGGCATCTCCACCACTGCCCGGCTAAGGAGGAAACTTTAAAGTCAGTGTTTTCTCCTTCCTCTAGCAAACGCTGATGGAGATAAATGTGCATGTAGTTCTGAAGCAGACTGGCCTGCCAACATCTTTTGGTGTTTTCTGCTATTTTCTCCTCTGACCGTTTAATAAGAATCACTTATGGGGAGCATGCTTTGTGTGTGACCTGTTCTGTTTTGTGATTTTTTTTTTCCTCCTGAGCAGTCTTCTGTCATAGAAAGGCTTTTAGGTTTTAACTAAGACAAGTTTCACAGCATTTAAGTGATTGATTAACTGAACATTTAGTACATCGTTACGATACAGACAAAACAAATTTTGTTTGAACGTTATTTATATATAACGCATATAAAATTATTTGTTGTTTATTATATCTGCTTTCTGCTCTGATCAGTGAATATTATGTAGCTGTTTTGCTACGTTTATATTTAGACATTTTGAAATACGGGATTTATGACTTTGTGACTGAAATCTGAGAATGTTTTGATAGGTTTGACTAATAGATTTCTCTGGTTTGTGAATTACATAAAATGCCAGGTCATCCATTTTCAGAAGCAAAGTATTCTGGTTATCTTCGAATAACCTTCAAAGAGAAACGAGATGCTTGGTGTAATAATGTGCTTCAGGGGTTTTTTTTTGTGTGTGTGTAAGTGGAAAATGTTGATTGCACAAAATTCTTCAATTTGCAAAACAAATAATTATATCAAAGTGCAAAATTGTCTTTCTCTGTCAACTATTTAAAAGTTGTTTTAGTGACTGTAATCTTACCTTTTTCCAACTGTTTTCAGAGTAATTCTTCAGCCCAGTGTTCAGAGCTGTAAAACCCCTGAACCTAACCTTTCTGGCAGTGCAGGCATTACTAAACGAACCACCAGATCTGCTTCGGGGAAAAGCAGTCTAAAAAGGTGAGAAAAGAGTCCTGCTCTGGAGGGCCCGTTTGTCTCCAGTTTACTCTCTTGGCCCCAGCTTCTGGGGCGGACATGAAGATAGGAAGGTGGAGTTTCTGTGATGAGAACGGAGGCTTCTGTGTTACTGGCTGTCCAGAGGAATTCCTCATGTTGCAAGTGCGGTCTCTGGCATGACATGGGGAAGCTGAGGGCGTTGCCCCAGAACTCTTCCAGGGTGCTGCGCCCGTCTTGGAGGAAGCCCCTTCATGTCTGTCAGGTCCAGCTCAGTGAGTCATGGCAGAGCAATCTCTGGCCACAGCTCTCTCTCCAAGACCTGTCGTGGCTGCTTCCTCTTCTGTCTCCTCAGTTGTTACTCCTTTCATTTATGCTAGGCTTTGTTGAGAAAGTTTTCCACTGTCTCTGGATGTTTGTTATAAACCAGAGGCGCACGTGTAATTTTTAAGCTGTCCTGAGACCCAGCCTCTGATGAGGGACAAGACCACAGGGTCGCTGTTTCCCCGCCCATAGGTAGACAGCAGGAGCTTGGGCGCCATCTGCTGGAGGTGGTGCCGCTTCACTTTGAAATGGGTAGCTCTGAAGTTAACCTGGGCCAGACTCTGCATTCTCCTCGCGCGCCTCTTTTACAGTCTTGTCCTTTCATGGGAAGTCTTCATCCTCATCACTTACATCGGTGTAAGTTTACCCTCATGTTGTGTGTCCATCTGGACCGAAACCACGTCCAGACGGCGTGGAGCATGCAGACTGTGTGGGATAGAGAGGTTTGGTTCCTGCGCTGGTGCCCTGCATGGCTCCTGCTCATTTGTCAGGTTCAGAAGGAAGTTTGTAGTCTCCACACTTTACACCCCCTACCTCCTCTCAGGAGTGTAAATCCATTACCATGCTGCCTTTCTGTGTTTCCACCTCCAGGTGGACGACATCGCCCCATCGCTGCACTTCCTTTTTCATTATTTCACCCCATTTTCCTAAGTCTGTCTTGTCCAAGTGACCTTTCAGGTTGCATCTTTGGGAACCATCACTCTTCTGCCACCAAACCGTCCTAACGCCTGTGGCTCGGGGTAACTTGTACCTTGTCATCTGTTACGTGGTGTGGTGTGGTGCTTGGGGTCCTTCATTACTCATCCAAACCGTAAATCAGTGTGTCTGTGACCATCTCACCTGAGATGGACTTTTCAAGTCCTTGCTGTGAAATCCATGGCCATCTTTCCTGTCTTTGCATCACGACTCTCACGGTCTAGGCCCCTGGGTCCTATTCCATTGCTCTGGGATTTCATCCTTCATCCACCATCATCTCCAGGAGTCCCGGGATGTTGTCTCTCTATTTTTAAGTGCTGGCATTTGGAATTCTAGTTATATTTCCGTTTGATTGGACCTGCCAGTTGTCTTTGTACTCAGTACTCTTAGCTCATGTCTGTAAAAACTACACACCAAATTCAGATGTGTCTTCTGTTAGCCAAGTGAGGGTCACCCCCCAATCAGAAGCAGTTTTATGGGTGACTTTGTCTTTTCTTTTTCTCGCTCCTCCTTTTTCTCTGAAAATTGCCAGTGGGTTTGAAACATAACATTGTGGGAGGAAGGAAGAGAGGAAGGGTGAGTCAGGTTGATTTCTGGTGAGTCCAGATCTCCTTACAGACAGGCCAAGCACTCTGAGAAGGTGGGGCTGCCAAAACTAGAAACTGCTTGAGGCGCTGGAGCTTTTCCTGTGACCACATTCTGGCCTTGGAACCACCCAGTAACCCCCCTCTCTCTCTCTTTCCGTTCTTCCCTCTTCCCCCACAGCCTGGCTCCTTGGAGGGAGAGGAGGAACGCTTTGCGACCAATGCCCGTGCTGGCGTTATGGTACCTTGCCTTGCTCTGCTGCCTGCGCCTGCTTGTGTTTGTTTATTTTGTTTGTTTCTATTGCCTTTTTTTTTAAAATGAAATTTGAACTTTCCTCTGCCCTGCCTTCCTCTCGTGTCTGTCTTCATGGTTGGTGGTGTCAGATGAACCACACCACGTATGCGCTTCTCCGCATGTCCCTGCTTGTCTCGTGTTGCTGCCCTTGTCTTCGGAAACTCCCTCTGGGACACTTGAAAATCTTCATGGTAAATCTTTTTCTTTTTTCTCCTCAGTCCAGCCGTTTCAAGGACTAAGACAGTCTTGCGTTAAAAAATCGCTGACCAGACTCCAGGGAAGACTAGGAACAGAAAACCCCAACAGGATTTAGCCAATCGCTCTGAAAACAAAACAGACACTGCAAAGGCCTTAGTTTCTCTCCACATAAGAAGTTCATTCAATGAAGAAAATATCACCGGCCTCTCAGCCACACACTGACTAAGGGCGTGGCTGAACATTTGACGGCCCGACTCCCACTTTGTAATCTCAAGTTGGATGAAAGCTGCTATCGAAAGTTTAGTCTCAGGTGTCAATCCCCGGCCCTCAGCCACCAGAGAGCTGTCTGGTGAGCGTGGTACATGTGTGTTCCTGTGATGGCAATCGTGTTTGCTGCTGGCCTTCAGAAGGATCTGATGAAGGTCTCTTGGGTATTTATTTTTTGTTCAGCCTGTGATCGCAGTCTTGCGATTAAAGATGAAAGAAGACTAGCATCTCTCCAGTGGTACCCTCCGTCTAAGACAGGATTTGGTACAATGTTTCACTTTGCTCCTGTTAAACCTGTCGTGATGTTCACTGTGTGAAGTACCCAAGCTGCTTGTCTTTCACCAAAGAGTGCTTTAATAACAATCTGTGAAAACTACATTTAAACACTTACATGTTGCTGTGGTTACCAAAACATGCTAAAGAATGTTGATAGAGTGTTTGGACCTTTTCTCGGTTGAAAGGTTATGTAAGTCCTTCCTTGTGTCCTTTAGGATGAAGACTTCAGGGCTGGGCGTTAGATCGCTCAGTCACACGTCAGAATTGTGTTTCCTCCAGTATTTAGAACCAACCAGCAGTGCTGGTGTTTGGTGGCTTTAAAGACACAATTGTTCACCCTCTGTAGAGTCTTTTCTCTGTGCTGCTGTGGAGTTTTGTTATTTGTGTCATTCACAGTTTGATTTTAGCGGCAATTGCTTGCTTCTGGAGTTAGGCTGTTTGTGTAAGAGAACTCACTGTTGCCTTTGGTTAGGGAATACGACTAGAAACTGTAGCGTGCCTTCTCTCTTCACCCCTGCTGGAAGTCAACAGCACCTGTGCCATGAAGCAATTGCAAAAGCCAGAATTTATCTGTTGCCCAAAAGAAAAAGACAGAGCCAATCGTTAGAGAATGCTTTAGAGTTGTCCTGGTTACCTCCACAGCAGAGGAATGGTTTTTATTGACTCTTCCCAGTTTGGAGACTGGAGAAATGCAGTATTGAAAGCCATTGAGAGCCAATGCCTTCCTAAGACAGACGAATGTCAGGCGAGCAGGCGACCCCACTTGAACAGTTACCCGTCTTGTAGATGGAATGAATAAGTTAAAGTCTGGTAAATTAAAGAAAGAAAGAAAGAAAGAAAGAAAGAAAGAAAGAAAGAAAGAAAGAAAGAAAGAAAGAAAGAAAGAAAGAAAGAAAGAAAGAAGAAAGAAAGAAAGAAAGAAAGAAAGAAAAAAGAAAGAAGAAAGAAAGAGAAGAAAGAAAAGAAAGAAAGGGAAAGACATAGGGTCCCCCGTTTCAGTGTTTCTATCCTCTGGCACTGGCTGACGTTGAGTTGGGGGCCTAGGGATATCAATGTAGAATCCACACGAAGAGCCCCTCCCCAGTCAGCTTTTAAACACCAGAGAAAGGCAGTTAAGGTCTAGGTAGGAGGACGTTTCGTTTACTTGTAATGCTCAATCAAACTGCACCTGAGTCTAAAATAGCAACCTCGCAGGGTGGTTCTCCCTCCCCTGAGCAAGCCAGGCCAAGTACTCCAGACCTTACTTCCTTGTGAACCAAGCTGGATTTGCCCTGTGTATCAGAATGGATGAACAGGGCCCACCCACCGTGACTCATGATGATTGAGTCTGGGAATAAAACCACTTGGGCGTCCGTGATAATAACCACAGTGCTTTTTAGAAATTGCCCCTTTGTTTTCAGCTCCTATTGCTACCGCTGTGGCATGGCTTTTGCTAAAATTTCCTCTCTTGCTGGTTGCTTAGGAAACGTGAGTTGGTAAACCTACTTCGTTCAGATGCTGTGGTGATAATTCTAGGGATGGACAGTCACCAGCACCGACTGGTGGCATCTAGGACCCAGGAGGTCTGGGTCTGACTAATGGAAAATCCTTCCTGCTTTAAATTAGTGGGCAGAAGACCCTGTTGCTGCAGAGCATAAATCAGTGGCTGTTGGGTGGAGGGGCCCCTTAGCTTCAGATGGCTTTGAAAGTCATCAAGTCCTTCTCCAGCAGAATTAGAACTGGGAAGTGTGCATATAGGTGAAGGGGAACTCAGAGCCTCCAGAGTTCCAGGGAGGAATCTCTGCAAAGCCGGGCTTCAGGACTTACAGATAGATGAATACAGTTACGAGGCCCAGCTAGAACTCTGTTGCCAAGAGGCAGGAAGGATGGGCCCTGAACAGTGGTAGCCGTATTGGTCAAACATGGCCACATGATGCTCTTCCTCAGAACTTTACAGCTTTAACTTGATCCCCCAAACGTAGCCCCTACCCATTGTCCTGCCCCATGCCCTCCCGCCTCTCCCCCACGGGTGGCTTCTACCTCTTGGCTTGGGCCCCGACAGGTCATAGAGGCTTTCTCAAGTGTTCTCATGAGGCTCTTGGAGCGTTTTCGGGTCTAACAGACCTTTCCAGCTATCTGGGTAACTTTGTGCCTGGAACGCTTAGGCCTCCGTTACCTTGAATCGCTGTTATTTGGTGTGTGTCCTAGAAGTAACAGCTGCTTTCTGCATATATTTTCTGAAAGTTCTTACCGGAGTTTAGAAAGCAGTTAGTCAGAAACCTTAAAAATCTATTTTCTTTAAGATTTCTCCTCCACGGACATGTCCTAGTGAGGTCAGCGACCGCTCTTGCATTTCTCCTTAAATCTGAGTGTTTCCCATGCCACTGGGTGGAAATAATACTACAGATGTGTTTGTTTTTTAAAAGACTTGCCCATCCTGTATAAGAAATTACCTCCTTATGACCCAGTAGAACTCACTGTGGATGGATGTGTCCGTCAGATTAGAGAACCACAGTTTTGCATTCATCATTTGAAGACTATTGTACGCTCGTGTGCAGGTGATTAAGTGAAGTTTTAAAGTGTAACTGATGAATCAGTATTTGATCAATCGTTGTCTTGATATTTTATTAAATTGTATATTTCTAATCATATTTTTTAAAGCTGAGAGAAATGGTTGGATGTTTATTCTCCTGAAGGTATTTTTAAGACAAAGCTTCACCGTAGCCTGTAAACTTGGCACATACATGTAGTTTTTGATACTTCTTGTTGCATTTGAAAATCTTGTGTATTGTAAAATGGTTTTATACAAAATACTAAATGGTAGAAATTGTATAATTTACAATCATATAATTAAAAATATTAAACAGTTTTTTGACTTACTGCGTCCACTTACTGAGCAAAATCAGTAGATAGTAATTTAAATATAAAATGGATTTGATTTTGTTTTTCTCAAGACAGGTTTCTCTGTAGTTTTTGGAGCCTGGCCTGGAACTCACTCTGTAGACCCGGCTGACCTCGAACTCACAGAGATCTGCCTGCCTCTGCTTCCCAAGTGCTGTGATTTAATTTTTAGCTTGCAAGGGACATCAAAACAAAATACTACAGACTGTGTGGGACAAGTAAAGAAAAATATATTCCCTTAGTGCCGGAAGCACGAATCTCGAGATCAAGATGTCAGCAGGGTGGGTTTCTTTTGAGGTTGCTGTTCTTGGCTTACTGATGGACCCTTCTCACTGGACGTCCTCTCTGTCTGCCCATCCCTGGAGTGTCTTATGAGGTTACCAGTGAGAATGGATTAGGGCCATGGTAGTGGCTTGCCTTCACTTTAAAGTCCTGCTTCTAGATGTAGCCAGTTGTAAGGTACAGAGGGGTTAGGGCTTCAGGACTCACCAGTGAGGGAGGGTGCCTGCTATAAAATCATTCCACACTGGACAACCTGGAGGATAAGAGTCAGGAACAGTAGGCATGGGGCCTGTAGATCCTGGATCATAGCATGCAGCCTGGCTGCATAGCTGGCAAAGCCCTTTATGTCTCAGCTCCCTGGGTTATCTGCTTCTTGTGTGACCCGGAGCCACACAGTCTGTAGTCTCATCTCCACACTGACATTCCTTCGCTAGTGAACCAAATGAAACAGTTCATGCAGAGTGTTCCCCACAACTGGAACACAGGTTTGCGGAGGTTATTTTGTACCTTTTAGCACAAGTGAATATCTGATAATGTAGCCTGATTTTAGATTTATAGCTCCCATGTTTCTGGTATCTTTGGTATATAACCTCATGCATCGGAATGGGGTCAGGTCACATTATCTTTGCCGGCAAGTCTCTGGAGTGGCTTCTTCAGAGCCCTGGCGAAGGGAAAGCTAAGCAAAAGGGCTACCAAGATGGCCCAACTAGAGGCCACAGAAAGGTGGAAGGAAAGAACTCGACACAACTCTCCCTCAGCTCTCTACAGGGTGCACACGCTCCCATCCCCAACACACACACAAACATTTCCTTTTAAAGAAGCAAAGCCAGTTTTCAGGCCTATGTTGGTAGGAGCAGGAGAGCCCAGATTGGTTGTGTATAAAACTGGCCTCTGACCGACCACTAACTATCAACTGGGACTGAGACAATAGATCTGTTTCTACTTCTATAAGATGGGGATGATAGGGGGCTGGAGAGATGGCTCAGTGATTAAGAGCATTGCCTGCTCTTCCAAAGTTCCTGAGTTCAATTCCCGGCAACCACATGGTGGCTCACAACCATCTGTAATGAGGTCTGGTGCCCTCTTCTGGCCTGCAGACATACACACAGACAGAATATTGTATACATAATAAAATAAATAAATAAATATAAAGAAAAGATGGGGATGATAATATTCCTGCTGGATTATATGAGTTAATACCATGAGCCACTCAGGGCAAGTGCTTGGTATGTACTAATCTGTATTTTCAATTAAAAAATATGAAAATATTGCTATAATGCTTTTCAAATGGATGGTGACAGCTCCCGTTGGTAGCTGTTGAGGCATGGATGAGCTGGTTAGTCAGATAGCAGGATATTGACCCCCCGCCCTGCACTGAGGTCATGGATGGGGTCTCTTTTATCCAGATTTGAAGTGTTCTGTTGTTGGTGACTGGCACAGTATAACCCTGTTTCTATCATGTTTGTTGTGGGAGGAAAAAGGACCCTTCTGGGCAATCTGTACAGTCTCTTCCCTGGCTCCCTTTTTGAGGGACTGGCTCATGTGTGTGGGAGTCCTTAGGTGCTTCCCTGTACCACGCCAGCAGCCCTGCCTCATTTCTAACGGAGTCGCATCTCTTTGTCAGCCAGTCTGCATGGCCTTGACGAGCTCATGGATGACCAGTGTTCTATGCAAACGGAATTGGCCAGGTAAGGAGGCACTTGGCCCGGAGGACCGGATCTCATAGGGCTGCTCACCAGTGTTCACAGAACAGCACAGTTTTAAACAGAGCCTCTGGGTGGGAGAAGGCGGGGGAGGAGGTACAGGCTGGGTGGGTGCTGCCTTACTGGGAGCGAGCTTACGGAACAAATCTCTTCAGAGAGGACAGTTCTCCCTTGTGTAGGACTCTAGATGATGCCTGGTGTCTGGCAGTCCCACCCACACCTCAGTGCCAGCCAGACTCCCAACCATTGGACAGCCCCCGTCCCCTCCTCTCCCATTTCTGCCAACGTCAGGGGATTCTGCTGCCCTGCCCCCAGAATGACTAAGTGCGTATAGAGCTTTTGTTGGCAGCGTCAAAGCTGCCGCCCAAGTACTGGATCCTGCTGAAAAAGGGGTTCCTTGCCCTTTCTGCTCTGGTCCAAGACCAATGGGAAGGGAAAAGACATCACTTAGAGACAGTGGAAAAGTGGAGCTTCTGAGGCCCAAATTCTAGGGTGAGCTTGGGGTTGTCTAGTCAGCTGTTTTCCTGCCTGATCCTAGGTGTCTTCACAGTAACCTGTATCTGTTTTCCCTTGGAGATGGGGGAGGTCTTCTGTGGTCTGACCGGACGACACAGGAAACACCTCAGGCAGGCCTGGGATTGGCAGCAAGTCCTCCGGCATTGTGGATTGGCAGGACAGACCTGGGAGGGGAGCTAGCGGCGGCCATGGTGTACTTACCCGGAGGGACATTCTGCAAGGGTCTCATTGGTCATGCTTTGCCATGAGCACAATGGCTGACCCTGGACTGAGGGTAAGAACAGGTTTGAGAACAGCTTAACCATCTCCTCCTTTTCCAGTGATAGCTGGCTGTCTCGGGCTGTAACCTTTCTAGACCGGCTTTTGATATGGCTCAGAGTCCGCAGGGCCTAACCCTCCGAGATCCCTCCTGACTACGGTGCTGCGCTCCTCACCGCGAATCTTGTATAATGTAAGCCTATTTTCTCAGGCTCGTGCCTCAGCCACCCCGCAAACGTGTCTGCCTCGTTCTTCCAGTATTGCCACTGGGTGTCATGTCGGCTCTGTTGGTGGGTGAGGAGGGAGCCCACTTAAGCCCAGTGGGGCTGTTACCACTTGAGCCCTCTCAGGTCAATGCCTCCCGTGGGCAAAAGACCCTCAACTTCTCCAGCAGCATGGCTGGTTCCACGGGTGCACAGCATGCTGGGGAGAACGACCTGCTTGCCTGTTACCTCAAGGCCTTATGGGATGCTCAGAGAACATCCTCAACAGTGGTCACGCCGGTCACGGTTCACTCACCTCATAGGCCTCCTGGTATTATTTCTTCCCTTTCTGCCCTTCCAAAAGCCAGTCTGTATTCCTGAGCACTTGGGACTTTATTAAATAAAGAGCCTCCTGTTGCTGTCCCATGAGGCCGTCAGCTAGTGTCTCCATGGGCCACAAGTACAGTTCTGGGGTTCATCAGGAATGAGCACACAGGTGCCCTTGGTGCTTTAGTATTTGACAACTCAGGACTGCCTCTCTGTTCTGTGTCTCCAGCTACAGTTGGCCATCTGCAACTGGGCATTCTTATGAAGAGTGCTTTAAAGGCTTCTGTGGCTCTGCCCTGTTGATTGACCTGCCAGGCCCACAGGTGGTTCTCTGGTTTGTAAACACCTGTTTTGATTAGGGACATTCCTATTACCAAGCCTTGTAGCCTGAGCAAAAGTTCTGGAGCAGAGATGGATGGGGTTGAGGCAGCAGGAGCCACTAGGGCCTTAAGCCTGAGCTCTCCCTTGGTTCCTAGTCTACCCCAGTACCTCTCTGGTGGTGGTCCTTGGGGTGGCTAAAACAAAAGCGTGCCACAAATACTCCAGGATTCCTATGTCCCACTGAGGTACACATGATCCTTTGTGTTCCAGTTACAGTGCCTAGAAAGAACACTGGGCTCGGGGAATGGGGCCTTTGTCTGCCTTGGGCTCTTCCAGTGGTGGGGACACCGGTGCTGTGGGTGGTCTGAGTTGTATTGTTTCCTTTTAATAGTAATTCTGGTGGGTCAGGATATGGTGCCTAAAGGGAGAAATGATGTTAGCACAGACTCTGAGGAAAAGTGTCTTGGTGTGGACTTTAGTCATCAAGAGTTCTGTTTAAGGACGGTTTCATCTATTTAAGGAAAGTTTCAGGTGAACCCGTTTTTTGTTTTTTTTTTCTTAATCCTTTCCTGTACCATATAAACATAGGTGACTACAGGACAGTGCCCAGCCAATTCAGTGCTCAGGGTCCACTCGGAGTTGTCCCTTGGGTTGTACCTAGGGCCACAGTGGGAGTAGACTGGACCCTGGGAAATTGATTCTCACAGGGATGGTGGGAGGTAGCAGTAGCAGGAGGAAATATGAGCGGACCTTGCCTCTCCTTGTAGTACTGCATGGTAAGCCTGCAGTGGGCAGTTCACAAAAGTGTGGTCAGTTTTCCCACCTTGGGACAGCTGGCTCTTCAGCCTTGCCTGCACATGAGGAACTAAGGCTGACAAGACAGTGTGTGCCTGACCTGCCTGGAAACAGCAAAGACATTTGCAGAACAGCCTGGCCAAGAGTGCAGACCTGCGGAGGCCCTTGCAGCAGACATCCCTAGCGCAGCAGCAGCTTCTGGTTCCCAAACGCCTTAAGTTGTCACTCATCCAGAGATGGGAAATGACGTGTTGGCACGGCTCATGCCCCAGCAAGGCAAGCAGAATTCCTTTGCCCGGCTATGTTCTACAGCCCTGAAGTCTGAAACCACTTGGTTCAGAAGTCACACACACACAGGCCACCCTGGACTGGTCTCCCACTTCTAAGAGACAAGGTTTCTCTGGTATGACTAATCTGCCTGGGTTTTAAGTTATCGGTCAGAATCATTGGTTGAGAATGCCCACCTCATGACATGTTTCCCCCAGCCCCTTAAAGGAGCCTGGCAGGCACCTTTGAGCCTGGGTCCTACTTTGTGTATACATCCATGCAGAATGATCTTGCTGATGGCTTTCTCTGCCCTTGACTTGTATTCTGCCATCTTCTCTGGAATACCCAGGCTGTGACCCAAGGTACAAGCAATAATTAAATCAACTCACCCCATCAGATCAGCAAGGTGACTCGAGGCAGCATTGCTTCAAGCTTTCCCAGTGTCATTCACAACTCAGATGGGAATGTTCTTAACAGGAAGCCTTGCTCTGCTGACCTTCAGAGCCAAGGGAGGCAGAATGACGTCGTGGGGCAGCCCTTACAGCCATCCCATAGTACTCACAAGCAGTGTGCCAGCCCCAGGGAAAATGAATAAGACAGTCAGTTCATATATCTTTGTACTCATTCATTTAATAAACATGGGATCAGAAGCAGGAGGACACCCAAAGCGAACATCCTTGGTAGTAACGTGTCTAGAGGTTCAACTTTGATTCAACCAAACCCCAAGAGAGTTCAGAGGGAACGCCGACCCTCACTCACACCTGGGTCCAGTTCAGCACCATCTCAGACTATGACCAAGTTGGGAGGACACGGGTCTTGGAGGCGAGGCTCCACCATAAGCACATCTCCAAGGCTGTGATACCTTGGCTCAGCCCTCCCCCACATGAGGAATCTTCTGATTTTACCAGTGGCTGGGTAGCCTGGCCTTTGGCTTCAAGCTGTTTGGAGTGGGCTTCCAGGTGAGTGACTGACCCATGAGGTGATTCCTAAACTCCACCAGAGGTGGGAAGAACAACACAGGAACTAGGGGATGGCCCGGAGAGGAGCCTGCCAGAGTGTTCACAGTTGGTAAGTGGGACTGAGTTATAAGTCCGTAGTAACAGCGCTGAATTCTGACACTATGTTTTGTTTTGTCTGTTTTAGAGACAGAGTCTCACTCACTATGTAGCTCTGACTGTCCTGAAACTTGCTCTATAGACCAGGCTGGCCTTGAACTCACAGAAATCTGCCTGCCTCTGCTTTGAATGCTGGGATTAAAGATGTGCTCCACCACTGCCAGGTGACACTAGTTTTAAGAAAAAAAACTATACATTTACCAGGAAGCTTTTCATTTGATTAGTGAGTTAAATAACACAGTTTTAAATCATACACCTAACAACCATCTGAACACTTAAGTGTGCACAGACATATACCACGAGGTAGTTTAAATCACCACTGAAAGCTAGGTACTTCCTCTGCCTCACCGAGTGGTTGTCACTGGTACGTGATGACAGTTTAAAGTTGGTGTCTGAATAAAAACAACTCGGGAAACTTCTCAGAACTGAACCATTATGGACAACAGTGTGAAAACCAGGCTATGGCTGCTTTAAATGGGCAGCTCCAGCTCTACCTGTGTCCTGAAATGCTGGAGGCTTGTCTAGACAACTCCCTAAGTCATCTCAATAGGTGGTTCTTCTTTATTTTTATTTTCTTGGATTTTCACAATTCACTCTGTAGACCAGGCTGGCCCCGAACTCGAGAGATCTGTCCTCCAAGTGCTGAGTTTAAAGGCATGCGCCACCACGCCCAGTGGCTCTGCCATCTGATTACTTTACACTGGACTTCGGTGGCAGAACTGTTAGAATCTATGTACACATTTGAAACATTATTCCTTACTAAGGTCTCCATCGTTCATCTGTGGGAAGTGCCTGACCTCATGGGACCTGCACTTCACATCCCACAGAGCAAGAAAGTGCAGCCAGTTCACACGACACGGGAAAAGCAACATCTATTGTTCTTAGAGTCTGACTCCTCTCGTGGCAAGGAAAGTCTCTTCATAGTGCTGCTCTGCTGATGGGGAATGGCTGTTAGGCCAGGGCCGGGAAGTCCTCAGGGTCATCCGGGTTGGGAGCGACATCTTGGGTCTAAAGAAAAGAGAGGTTTTTTAAAGTCACTTCCCCCACCCAGCTGTGGCCAGCATTAGACCACTTACTGGGTGACACAGACGGCCACCTCATTTCTACCCCTGACAGCCAGGGAGGAGCCAATGGAGCCACAGTGGAAGGCACAGTGGCCTAAGGGCCACCGTCAGGAGCTGTCTCCTCCTTGCCCTTTGGATCTGACACTTTCTTGTCCCAATATGTAACTGTTGAGGGCTGTAGAGTAGGCTCAGTGGTTAAGAACATTGGCTACTCTTCCAGAGGACCAGGGATTGATCCCTGACATTCACGTGGTAACTCACAGCCATCTGGATCCAATGCCCTCTTCTGGCCTCCAAGCATACAGGGCACCAGGCATACAGGTGGTAGACACACACATGTAAAGTACTCATATACATACACATAAAATAAACGGGAGACTGGGCTGGGACTGGCTATAGCCTCCTGGAGGGAGCAGCACCCATGGGGACACAGCAGGAAGAAATGGTTCAGGAGGGAAGCCTTCGCTCAGAAACCTCGGCTGTTGGAGGGCGCTGTGCACAAGGGTGCTTTAGGGGCTGGGGATCTATGCGAGATTGGCAGGGGAAGGGGTGCGGTCTGCTGCAGCCGGTCACAAAAGGCCATCAGGACTTACCACCACTTCTGCTCTGGGGACATAGTTCTCTGTTCTTCTGATCCTTCCTCGGCCTCCTCGGGCACTGCCTCTGGCTCCCCGTCCCGGCCGAGGGAGGTTACCAAAGTTAATCTCCAACTGGGATGTGATGTCATTGGCAGCTTTCCGGAAGACATGGGACTCGTCCTCATAGTCGTCCTTCACTATCTGGAACACAGCCACAGGTCACACGGTCACACAGTCACACGCACGGCCATCTCCACAGATGCACAGCCTGGGCCTAGTAACGAACATTTTTAATATGTTGCACTGGTGGCCTGTGTGTCCCTGTGGACTTGGAAGACCCTGGGTTGATGGAGGTGGGTCTTGTATCTTATCTGTTGCTTTCATTGGTTAATAAACTGCTTGGCCCTCTGATAGGGTAGAATTTAGATAGGCGGAGTAAACAGAACAGAATGCTGGGAGAAAGAAGCAGAGTCAGAGTCGCCATGATTCTCCCACTCCAGAAAGATGCAGGTTAAGATCTTTCCTGGTAAGCCAGCTCGTGGTGCTACACAGAATATTAGAAATGGGTTAGATCAATATGTAAGAGCTAGCCAATAAGAGGCTGGAACTAATGGGCCAAGCAGTGTTTAAAAGAATACAGTTTCCATGTAATTATTTCAGGTATAAAGCTAGCCAGGTGGCTGTGAGCCGGGGCGGCAGGAATGCAGCCGCCGCTCCGCTCCTTCAACACTGGATGTGTCCTAGCTAGACACCAGACACTGGTCTAATACAAGCAAAACTACCCAGGCTGCTCTCCTCCTGCCCTCTGCCTCCCAAGTGCTGGGAATATAGGGATGGGATCCTACTTAGTCTTTGACCAAGCATCTTTGAATTTACTATTCAAGTAGAACCAAAATCCTGTTGGGTGTGGTGGTTCATGCCTTTAATCCCAGCACTCAGGAAACAGGCAGGTGAATCTCTGAGTCTGAGGCCATCCTGGTCTACATAGTGAATTTCAAGACAACCAGAACTACACAATAAGACCCTGTCTTAAAAGGAACAAATAAAAAAATGAATAACCCACTCTGGGCATGTTAAGATATAAGATTATATTAGCATGTTTCAAGTGTATTTTGAAGGTCAATGAGTCAGCTAACATAGTTACAGCAAATATTCCGACAGATCTCTGCAGCCAGTTTGGTTTGTTTGTTTGTTTGTTTGGCTAGTTTGGTTTCAATAAAATAAATGTCTTTGGTCCTAGTTAATCTACAACATTTTTAGCCAGGATCGTTCTTAAAGCAACATGAGCCAAATCTTGGGTTTGCTAACTTACTTTGGTTTTGGGGTCTTTTGGTTTTTTGAGACAGGGTTTCTCTGTAGCTTTGGAGCCTGTCCTGGAACTAGCTCTTATAGAGCAGGCTAGCCTCGAAGGTTTTGGTGTAGTAAGAGACCTCCCACCAAAGAAAGTCCTAGGATACTATGTATTGTTTGAGGAACCGGCTCCTATTTTTACCTGCTTCCCAGCCTTAACAGTACTGTGGTTTCACAGGAAGCTACATTTCTAGTGTTCACAACAGAAAAGAACAACAAAAAGACGTGCTGCCTGCTAAGCCAACTCTGGCCTCCTAGGTCTCTGGTGGAACATCTCAGAACTTACCAGTCAAGTGTCTTAGACCTTGAGCTGACCAGGAAGGCAGAGTGGATATACTGTGTCGTCAGCAGCCTCCTAAATGAAGTACTCAAGGTAACTGACCAAAGTGCGCATGAAAATCCTCACAGGAATCTGGAGGTGGGCATGGTAAGAGGAAGTGGGTCGTGGGGCTGAGTCCCGGATGGGGACATCATTAGGACATCAGCTCCTTCCTGTCTGTTTCTTGGCCGCAGTGAGGCAAGCATACGGTTTTCTGCCATCTGCTTGCATCTTTGGGCCACACAACCTGAGGCTGAATCAAAACTTTTCTCATTATAAGTGATCTCAGGCATTTTGCTACAACACTGGAAATCTAACTAATAGAGAAACACAGAGAAAAATACACAGTGTTCTGAGCTGACTGGAAGTCGGCAAGTCTCCCCAGCGGGGAAGATTGCTCATCACCACAGTCTGGCTTGTGCTGTGACAACAGAAATTCTAAACTCTGCACCTGGGTGCTTCAGTGTTCCTTCAACTTCAGTAACAGGAGAAAGTGGTAAGGGATCAGCCTTGTAAACATTATTTACTTATTATAAACATTATTTCCCTGGAGCCGCTCTGTCCAGGCATCTGGTAAAAAGCCCCAAGCTGGACTGGGGAGATACAGCCACGGTGGTGAGGTGCTTGCACAAAGCATGAGGGTTGAGTGGATCCCAGCACTCATGTAAAAAGCTGAGCGCATCTGTAACCCCAACAACGGGGGACAGAGACAGGATTAGGATTGTTGGAGCTTGTTAGCCAGTCTACTTGAATTGGTGAGTCCGAGGTTCATTGAGACACCTTGTCTCAAAACAAAAGTGAAGAGTGATAGACACACGAGCAAGTATACACACACACACACACACACACACACACACACACACACACACAGGATCAGTGCTAGACAGGAACTGTGAAGAATAAGCCTACACAACACAGAGTCCATAATAATGTCCTCAGTACAGCTGGCTGCAGTCTGGTACCTGACAGTGCCATCAGTGATCTAGGAACTTCTCAGCAGTTTCTGGAGTTAAGACAGAGGAAGCAGTGCTGTTCAAATACCGTAACAAAGGGATCACAGAATATAGGTGCTGTGGGATGTCTTTCTGTACACTGTGAATAATGTGGTCTCATTGGTTGATAAATAAGAGCCAGGAGGGAAATCCAAGCAGAGATACAGGAGAAGAAGGGCAGAGTCTTGGAAATGCCAGCCAGCCAGCAACAAAGGAAGCAAGACGTGTAGAAAATGAGAACAAGCCACAAACCATGTGGTAAAGCATAGATAAGAAATACCGGGTAATTTAAATGTTAAGAGCTAGCTGTTAAGAAGGCTTAGCCATCAGCCATGCACTTATAAGTACTAGTAAGCCTCTGAGTATTTTTAAAGCAGCTGCAGGACTGGGCGGAGCAGCAGAAAGCCTCTGTTTACATATAGGTTCCCTGGTCTTGGTTCAACTCATAACTGACCCAGTGGAATGCTCATCATGAAAGAGGAGAGTGTGGTGGTGCAAACCTTAGTCCTGGCCCTCGGGACACTGAAACATGGGTGGATGGAGAGTCTGAGGCCAGACCAGGCTACATACTCAAGACTTTATCTTAAACAAAAGAACCCGAGGGGACGGCAATCTAATCATCGAAATAGTAGCCTTTGAAACGGCTGCTCTGTGCCTCTGAGAGGCCAAGGTGGACGGAACCCTTGGCACTTGTGTCTTCCTGGCTTACTTTCAACAGAGAATGCGGTATTCTCCTGTCAACACACCAAGTTCCATTCCTTCCCATCACCCTTGGTGAGGCCTGAGCAGAAACAAGACTTTCAAGTGGAGGGGCTGGAGATGGCTAAGTGGGTACCAAACCTGATGGCCTCAGTGCTGAGAACCACACGTCTCCTCTGCCCTCCACATCACACTCCCCACACAGATGGTTCTGTTTTCACGTCCACCAAGAGAGGTCTGATTGTGCCTGATGAGGGCAATGGTACATAGTCCCCCAAGACAGAAGGCTTACTTACATCGTCTCTGTATTTGGACTTGTGAATCACCACTGCCTTGGAAGGAACTGTGGACTCTGGCTTGCGGATGTTGAACTCAGGCTTTGGTCTGGTTTGCTCTTGAAGGTTTTTCCACTCATCCAAGGTCATCTCTTGGACTTGATTTTCCTCTTCTACCTCCAACTCAGGAACTCTGTAAAGGTATAACAATTTTTTTGCTGATGGAACTTTTGTAGCACTTTATTAGAAGTGTAGTAAGGTGGAAGTAACCAGACCCTCAGGGTCGCATCTGAGTTTTATCTTTTCCATCCTATCCTGCACTGCAAACTAAAGGTGCCTTCACAGTGGTTTGGGAAAATGACGTCATCACCCCAGGTTCTCCCCATCCATTACACCATCATGCGCCTTTTCTGACGGAGGGGGCAAAAATAAGAGATGTGGACACAAAGTCATGGAAACCATGGACAGAAGTCTTAATGGGTCACAAACGTACACTTTTATAAATACCCCTCCGGTTGGTTCAGACTCTCTCCAGGCCCATGCTCCAAACCCTTTTTAGACCTCTTCCTCATTATGCCAGAACTATTTTTGATCACATAAGTTTAGGTTTTCTTGTGGCCTCATTATATCTTCATGCTTATTTCCACATTTGTCTGATAACTTCATCGTGAGACCCTGTTAAAAATCGTTCGTGTTTTACCCTCTTCTATGACACAGTTTTGAGTGAGGTTTTTATTGTAGACCTTTTTGGAGCACTATGGGTGGAGCTTAGGGGCCGCCTGTGTTGAGCAAATGTTCTGTCCCCATCCTATTTTAAAACAGACTAGGAATAAATAAATACATAAATAAATACATAAATAAATAAATAAATAAATAAATAAATAAATAAATAAATAAAAAAAACAGACTAGGAGATGGCTCGCTCTGGGAGCACCAGTTCCAAGGGATCTTGTGCCCTCGTATGGCTTCCAAAGGAACTGCATTTGCACATACACATGCAGGCAAAACAGACACATTAAAAACCTTTTCAAATCCCCAATATCATTAGCCTGGGTGGCAAACCACAAGAAGTTAACTCATTCCACACCTAACAGGACAGCTGGTATCAAAAAGGCATTTAAGGGTTGCAGAGATGGTTCATCAGCAAGAGTACTTGCAGCTCTTGCAGAAGACCTGGGTTTGGGTCTTAGGATTCACGTGGTGGCTTACAACCAGCTGTATTCAAGGGGATCCAACACTCTTTTCTGGACCCCATGGCACCAGGCACTCATGTGGTACACATATATACAGGCAAAGCACTCATAAAAATCTTTTTTTAAGAAGGAAAAAGGGTGTCTTTAAAGGCATTTAAAAAGTGTTGACAAGGGTGTCAAAGATATATGGTTGGGGAATTGTGTGTCAATTTAGAAAACAGTCTGGTGGGTGTTCAAATTTTACAGCCAGGTGTGGTGGTTCACGCCTTTAAACCCAGCATTAGGGAGGTAAGATTAGCTGGACCTCTGCGAGTTTAAGGACAGCTGATCTACAGAGTGAGCCCCAAGACTGCTGAGGCTACATAGCAAATTCTAAGGCAGCCTACATAGAGAGATCTTGTCTCAAAAATTTTTTTTCTGACAGTTCATATATGACCTAGTAATTTCACACCTGAGAGAAATGAGAACATGCATCCATATGAGACCACATATGGATTGCTCAGAGGTGTGCCAACACCAGGGGAAAGTCCTGTCAAGGTTTGGGATGCTGCACAGTGTGATTGTCCAGAGGGGATGGAGAGATGGCCCAGTGGGTAAAGGTGCTGCACACAAGCCTAGTGACCTGGGATAGATCCCTGGAATCCACATAGAGGAGGAAGGAGAGAACAATGTACAAAGCTGTTCTCTGACCTCCACATGCACATGTGATGCATACACACACATGGTAATAATAAAAATAAAAACCTTTCAAAGGTTCCAATTAGCCTGCCTTGTGACTTGCTTGGCTATGGATTCCAGGAGGGAGAAGGCTGAATGAGTTGTCTAGGAGGTGGCTTTGCCTTGAGAAACAAAACTAGGAAACAGGAAGGTCCTACGAGTTCTGTGGCTAGCACCCTGGCTCATTCACAGGGAAAGGAGGCTTAAAGCCTCAGTGTGCTAGGTATGGACCAGAGACCTGGTCTTCATGGAAAAAAAGGAAGGCAGGAGAATAAAGGGGACAAAAGCAAACAGAAGAGGTAAGGGGCAGAAGATACAATGCTTGGATTTAATCTACTCTCACTTAAAAAAAACTATCAGATTACTTAACTAGTTTGTTAATAAGATCAACCTAGTATGATATGAGAAAGGGCTCAGCTTTTAAAACCATTAAGGAAAGACTAGAGAGATGGCTCAGTAGAATCTCTTGCTTAAGAATGCTTGCTCCAGCTGGGTATGGTGTGTGTACCTTTAATCCCATCGCTGGGGGACAGAGGGAAGTGAAGCTGTGTGAGCTCAAGGTCAGTCTGGTCTGAATATTGCGTTATTGGACAGCCAGGGCTACACAGAGAGACCCCTACTCTGAATATTGCGTTATAGGACAGCCAGGGCTACACAGAGAGACCCCGTCTTCTTTGAGAGTACCTGCACTGCAAACATGAGGACCAGAGTGTGAATGTCCAACACCCACCTAAAAATTCCAGGAATGTGCAGTGGAGACAGAAGGACCCTAAGAATTCACTGGCAACCTAGCTTAGCTGAAATAGTGAGCTTTCATTTGTGAGGGACAACAAGAGACAAAACCACAGAGAAAGACACCTCGTACCCTGCTCTGGCCTCTCCATTCACACAAGCAACCTCCCCCCACACGCACGCACACACACGCTCGCATGCACACATGCACATTCTCACACGCACACGCACACAGTGTCCAATCTTGAGAGGGGAGGGGAAATGTATCATTAAGAATCACTATGAGAGATAACCCATAGGTCTAAGAAGCAGCTGCCTACTTGGCGGGAGACTCCTCATCCAGGGTGCCTTGGGACTCCTCCATCGCTGAGATCTCGTCCATGGGTGCAGCTGGCTCTGTGTCACTGAAAAGCAGCAAGAACATTTGTCATACAGTCTGTCATGCCAAAGAAACACAATTTAGGCCTCGTTTCTTAGGGCATGCCCTTGAAGCGACCATATCCACACTGCAGTGAAAAACAGTAGTAAGGGCTGCTTAAAAATATGTTATTTCCCACTCAGGAGCAGAGGCAGGAAGATCTCTGTGAGTTCAAGGCTAGCCTGGTCTACAAAGCAAGTTCCAGGACAGTCAGGGTTACAAAGAGAAATCCTGCCTTAAAAACAAAAAGTTATGGGGCTGGAGAGATGGCTCAGTGGTTAAGAGCATTGCCTGCTCTTCCAAAGGTCCTGAGTTCAATTCCCAGCAACCACATGGTGGCTCACAACCATCTGTAAAGAGGTCTGGCGCCCTCTTGTGGCCTTCAGGCATACAGACAGAATATTGTATACCTAATAAATAAATAAATATTTAAAAAAAAAGTTATTTCCAAAATGTTAACGATAAATAGAAATGTCAATGAATGCTCTAAATTTAAGACCAGACGATAATGATCAGGGAAAAAAAAACCCAAACTCTTATAATACTGGAGAATCCATCTTTTCATTTTCTCTTTTTATATATTTTATTTTTGAGAAAATGTCTCACTGTATAGCCCCAAGTGTCTGAGAGCTCACTGTGTAGACCAGGCTACCCTCAAACTCACATACAAATCTACCTCCCTCCGCAATGGGCTGGGATCCTCCCTCCAAGTGCTGGAGTCACAGGTGTATGCTACCAAGCCTGGCAAGAATTCCAGCTTTGGGGGCTGGAGAGATGGTTCAGAGGTCTTGAGTTTAATTCCTAGCAAACACATGGTGGCTCACGGCCATCTATAATGGGATCTGGCGCCCTCTTCTGACATGCAGGTGCACATGCAGATAGACAGAGCACAATATACGTAAAATAAGTAAACCTCAAAAAATGATTTTAAAAAATTATTCTAGCTTTCAATTTTTTTAAAAGCTTATTTTATTTTCTGTATATGTGTGTTTGTCTGCATGCCTGTATGGGTACCATGTGGGCACAGTGCCCACCAAAGATAGAAGAGTTATTCAAAACTTCTGAAGCTCCCTTATATGAGCAGCAAGTGCTCAATTTGATACAAGACTTCATGAACTCCTTATTTGCTACAGATAACCGTGAACGTCAGAACCTGGGATTACAGGTATGCACCATCACTCCCAGTTCATACGGTGCTGGAAACAGACCCACACTTTCTGCATGCTAAGCAAATTTTTTTTTTTTTTTTGAGACAGGGTTTCTCTGTGTAACTTTGGAGCCTGTCCTGGAACTAGCTCTTGTAGACCAGGCTGGCCTCGAACTCACGGAGATCCACCTGCCTCTGCCTCCAGAGTGCTGGGATTAAAGGCGTGCTCCACCACCACCCGGTTGTGAGTTGTTCTACCTGAGCCACATGTAAAGACCCTGCAAAATACTTTACCAAATAAACAGCTTTAAGAACTTTGGACACTCACTGGGCGTATATTTATATATATATATATAAACATATTCTGAGATGTGCAAGTGTGCACACCGTATACTTAAGATATATGAGCATATATGTGGCCAAATGTTTGTCAAGTAGAAATTGATGTGGATTGTTGTTTAGGGCATGTGTGTGTGTGTGTGTGTGTGTGTGTGTGTGTGAATCTGCAATTGACTGAATCAGGAGAAAGCTTTTAAAAACATAGTTGTTATGTTGTATTTACTCAAAACTGTTTTTAAGGTCTATTTGCTTATTTACTTGCTTTATTTATTTGAGACAGAGTCTCACGATGTAGCCCTGGCTGGCCTGGAACTCATTATATAGACCAGGCTGGTCCAGAATTCATTGAGAGCCTCCTACCTCTGCCTCCCAATCCAAAGCATCTGCCACCATACCTGACCCCCTTAAAGGTTTAACTTTAGCTAAGTTAAAAAAGTCTAAGAATCTAAGTACAACACAACAACTATGTTTTAAAAAGCTTTCTCCTGATTCAGTCAATTGCACACACACACACACACACACACACACACACACATGCGCTCTCTCTCTCTCTCTCTCTCTCTCTCTCTCTCCAAACAACAATCTACATCAATTTCTACTTGACAAACAGAACCAGAGAGAACACAGTTTTTAAAAAAGCCAAGGTTCAGGGACTCTGGCTCCACTGCAGGATCTCAGGGAACACACCCTTGCACCTTACCTAGTGTCTTTACCTGATCCCCAGGAACGCACACCGCAGACACCCATGCTGTCCTCCATTCTGTTTGCTCTGAAGAAACAAAGAACAGCCATGTTCCTCCCAATCAGAAAGCACTGCCCCAGTGTCTGCGGAGACAACTCTTACAAAGGGCCTGGGTTTAATTTCCAGTACCTACATTAGACAGCGACAACTGTCTGTAACTCCAGCATCATCTTCTGGCCTCTACAGACACGGCACTCATGCATGTCACAGCCCATCCCCACAACATACACACGGATGCACGTAATCTTATATAATGAAATTCTGTCCCACGAGAATGACAGCACTCGTATCAAGCTGGTCATCAACAGACACAAAAGCTCAAGTGGAAATGGCACAGCAAAGGAGCTTACGCTTTATCATTGCTGCTGTATCTCTCAAAGTCTCGCTTCCCTCTTTGGTCAAAGGAGTCAAAAGCTCTGTTCCCGGGCCCACCTCGGCCTCTGCTCCTCAGGCCTCCTCTGGGGCCTCCGCGTCCTCTCAGTGGCCTGTCTCGGTCAAACCTGTCAACTGGTCTAGGAGAAGACAGGAATGATGAGAAGTGGTGAACTGGACTTAAAAGGTCTGAAGCCTTTTTGAGAAGAACATACCAACTCTAGAAGGCAGCTATGGTTATAATAAGTCAGAAAGCATGGTGGCTGGACTAAACTAACAGTTGGGCACTGAACACACAGCACTTTAGTGCTCACAGCCATGTTTAGTACACAGAATCTCTGTAAAGAGACGAGAACCTGAAGCAGCACAGGAAGGATCTGCCCCAGGTCACATGGTATCAGGTAGGAGCACAGGTCCTTGTTCTCAACTGGCTTTCACTTGTGAATTCAGTTTCCTCGTTTATATACATGTAAAGGTTCTTTCCTGTCTTGGTATTAAACACTTAATTTGAAATGGTCTGTGTAAGAAAAATGCTTCATCTTTAAAAATTATCCCTCCAAATCTCTCTTCTAAACATATACCCAGAAGGTGATATTTGGAGCTGAAATCTTTAACATATTGAACTTGCTTCTACTCTGTGACCAAAGACAGGGAAGACTAGTGATTTTTAAGATTAATTTAATTTATTTTGTTTTTTTGAGACAAGGTTCCACTGTGTAACAGCCTTGTCTGTCCTGAAACTAGCTATAGACCAGGCTGGCCTCGAACTCACAGAGATCCCCCTGCCTCTCTCTGTCTCCCAGGTGCTGGGATTAAAGGAATGGGACACCACCACCCAGTGACTTACTTTATTTTTATTTATGTGTCTGCCTGTGTCAATCTATGTAAGCAAACATCTCTGTGTGTGTCCTTGGAGGCCAAGCAGGGCATTGGATCCCCTGGAGCTGGAATTACAGGCAGTTGTGAGCTCCTGGTACGTAAGTGCGCTGTAAACCAAACTCAGTTCCTCTGGAAGAACAGCAGGCACTCGCCTGCCAAACCTAAAAAGTCTATGTTCAGAGGGTTCGATTACGTTCACTAAGAGGCCTAAGGAAAAGCTCCTGCTTCACTCAAAGGAATATTTGCATCCCGGATCCACATACACCAACATGACTATTCTCTGCATCTGATCCTGGGCTCAGTCAACTCCTCACACAAAGGATGTCACTTCTGAAGGAAAACATGTGTTCTGCCTGTATAGAGTCAACATCCTTGTCAACTAACTGAGATCCAAGTCACTCCAACTCTAGGTCTCTGTTTTCCATCTCTAAGGGCTGAATTTAGACTTTTAAGATAACAAAAATTTTATAAATTTGTCTAGTAACGTGTATCAAGAAATTCGAAGTAAGTGCACTTTAATTCAAATAAGCAAAAACCAACCTGGATTACAGCCCAGTTTGCAGATCATGCTGTGGGAGATGCTATCCCAGATGAGTGACAAAGCGAGCTGGTAGGTAGCTGTGACAGTGGTTTGTCTGTGGGTCGACAAGCCTCCCCCATCCCAATTTTATCTGTTTTTATACCATCTCTACCCACCTAACTTTGTACTAAAGCAGATGTAGGTTACAACCTCACCTGGCTTCTAATTCCAGGACTCTACTGAGGAAATGCCTGGCATAGAGCAAAAGCTGCTTCTGCTCCCATGCGTCATTAAAAAGCCTGATGCTGAGCCAAGCACAGGCCCATTAGCACTGACCAAATGGCGACGTATGAGACACCCAAATAATGGGTCACTGAGTACACAATCACTGAGTGTACAGTAAACGCATCGTGTGCAGTTAGCACACAACCAAAAACACCGAGCAAACGCTGCTGATCCCATGGGAAACCCTCATGTGTGTCAAGAATAAGGGTATAGAGTGATCAGGTGTGTGCATTACCATAGGGTCATGTGTTTGGATGTTTGCTTCTTAGTTGGTGGAACTGTCTGGGAAGGACCAGAGGTGTGGGCTTGATGAAGGAGGTGTGCCATGGGGGGTGGGCTTTGAGGTTTCAAAAGCTCTCACTAGCCCACCGCTGTCTCAGTTAGCTTGATCTCTACCTCGTGGTTATAGATGAGAAGCGAGCTCTCAGCTGCTGCTCCAGAACCATTCTGCCTGCCTGCTAGTTAGCTTGATCTCTACCTCGTGGTTACAGATGAGAAGCGAGCTCTCAGCTGCTGCTCCAGAACCATTCTGCCTGCCTGCTAGTTAGCTTGATCTCTACCTCATGGTTACAGATGAGAAGCGAGCTCTCAGCTGCTGCTCCAGAACCATCCTGCCTGCCTGCTAGTTAGCTTGATCTCTACCTCGTGGTTATAGATGAGAAGCGAGCTCTCAGCTGCTGCTCCAGAACCATCCTGCCTGCCTGCCCGCTGCCATGCTCCCTGGCATGATGGTTAAAGACTCACCCACTGAAGTTGTAAGGCCCCAATTAAATGCTTTCTTTTTTCATAAGTTGCCTTGATCATGATATCTTGTCACAGCAACAGAAAAATAACTAATGGGGCTGGAGAGATGGCGCAGCGATTATGAGCACTGGCTGCTCTTCCAGAGGATCTGGATTCAATTCCCAGCACCCACATGGCGGCTCACAACTGTCCGTAACTCCTGTTCCAGGGACACAGATGCAGGCAAAACACCAATGTACATAAAATACAAATAAATAAATATTTTTAAAAGTAAAATTTTTAAAAAGAAAGGAAAATAACTAATATGTCACTTTACTACCTCAGTAGATTAACAGATGGGAAAATGTTGATTGGTTTTGTGATTTCACATGTGTTTGTTTATTGTGTGTACACAAACACACATGTACAACAGTTTATATGAGGAGGTCATGGGACAACTGCTAATTCTCATAGTAATTATATCCCTAAGCCCAAAATTAGTTTCCTAATCTAACTCGAGAAGAATTTTTAACCTCTTCAATATACTTGTGTGTGTGTGTTTTGTTGGTTATTTTTGGTTTTTTTGTTTGTTTGTTTGTTTGTTTTGTAACATGAGGGCTTTTCAGGAGTTGGAGAAATGGTTCAGAGGTTAAGAGTGCTGGCAGTTAAGAGATCTTAAAAATGACCTGGGTTTGATTTCCAGCATCCACATAGTGGCTTATAACCATTTGTAACTCTGCTTCTGGGGGATCTGATACCCCTCTGGCCTCCATGAACACCAGGCACAGATGTGGTACACATACATACACACAGGCGGAGTCCCACAAACATAAGTTTTTTTAAATGCTTTTTGTATGAACCTTCTGTTCTTTGAGCTTTATGCATGGTAGGCAAATGCTCAACCACTGAGCTGCACCCCAAACCCACAATTTTTTTTGTTGTTTTGTTTTTCAAGACAGGGTTTCTCTGCACAGCCCTGGCTGTCCTGGAACTCCCTCTGTAGACCAGGCTGGCTTGAACTCAGAGATCTGCCTGCCTCTGCCTCTCAAGTACTGGGATTAAAGGCGTGCACCACCACCTGGCCACAATTAATTTTTAATTGTATAATCATTTCCTATATACTAAGGTATAGGTAAGTGGAAGATCCTTCATGTTCTACTGAAGGTAACATGACTTGAGACTTACCTTGGCAAATTATTCGTAGGACTGCCACCACAGAAATGTCACAAAGCCTAGTAGTTATCTGGAAATCTCTGGGGCCCCGGCCACCCTAACCGAGGACTAAGGTACATACTTTTCATCTGTAAACTTCGCTGCCAAGTCTGCCTGTCTCTCAGTGTCATAGAGTCGATATTCCCTGTAGGGCCTTCGCTCTGCTCTATCAAGCGCGTCTGTCCCCCGGTTGTCATTCCATCCTTGCTGCTCCCCTCTTCTGGGAGTCCGCTTCTGGCCTGCGGAACCAAAGCAAAGCTCGAGCACAGCATCCACAGCACCACGGTTTCTGCCCGGAATCAAAGTCGCTGGAAAGCGAGGGCTTCAGGGAGAAACAGTCACCACCTCCCAGTGCTAATTAGAAAACTGCACCAAGTCCGGGAAATGCCAGCGTTAACCCATACCAACTACAGATTTACAGGATTGATGACCGTCTTGCCTCGGGTGTGCCACCATGCTTGGCTAGATGACATTTTTTCAGTGCCTCTGTGAATGCTGTCAGGTGTCTTTTACTGGATGTATGGCATTTCACAAATACACCTTTACCAAGCCATAGTGATAAAGACTCATCTAAGCAAATTAAAGGATTAAAAACCCTGTACCCACAGAACTAGTTCCAGGACAGGCTCCAAAGCCACAAAGAAACCCTGTCTCAAAAAACCAAAAAAAAAAAAAAAAAAAAAAAAAAAACCTGTACCTCAGACAATACTTTTAGGATCCCATCTGCAGCTGGGCTTGGTGGCCCATGCCTTTAATCCCAGCACTCAGGAGGCAGAGGCAGGAGAATCTCTGAGAGTTCCAGGACAGCCAGGACTACACAGAAAAACCCTGTCTTGAAAAACTAAACAAAAACAAAACAAAACAAAAAAGAATCCTAGCTGCAAACAAACCAAGAGCAACTAGGGTCTATCTTCTGTCATGAAGATAGGTGTTTGTGGTATGCTTAGAACATCGAGAGATATAAATAGAGCTTTTATTGCAAAAATTTACATTACCAAGAAATCAAAATTGGGTACTGGAGAGATGGCTCAGTGGGCAAAGTGCTTGTTGTGCAAATTATGAAGACCAGAGTTCAGACACACCCAGAACCTAGAGAAAAGCCAAGAGTGATGAAGAATGCCTGTAACACCAACACTGGGGAGGCAGACTAGCCTTAGTCAGCTAGTACAGATACACAGTAGAGTTCTGGCTTTATTGAAAGACCATGTCTCAGGCAGTGGTGGCAAAGGCCTTTACTCCCAGCATTTGGGAAGAAGGTGGATCTCTGAGTTCAAGGACAGCCTGGTCTACAGAGAGAGTCCCAGTACAGTCAAGTCTTCCAGTGTCCCTGTGTATAAACTAAAACTACTAAATGTAATTTATTATAATAATTGAATACCTTGTAAACATTACAGTTCTCTAAAATCCCAAAACAAAGGTAACCAGAGAGATTTCCGTGTTCCCCCACAACTTGGTTCTAGGAGATCCAGATGCAACCGGACCTAACTTGTTTCTCTGTGCTGAACCAGCAGGGCAGCTGCAGATGCAGCATTTCCCCAGCCCTTTCAATGAGGAGCTGTCAGCTGTCTACAGCAAGACTTCCTAAAAGACAAAACTGAATGTGGGCTTGTCCACCAGAACCCTGAAAGTCTATGAAAACAAGAATGGAACAACCGATGACTGAAGAATGAATTTATTGGACAAGGCTCAGCCAAGGGTTATCATTAGACAGACAAGAACACTAGAAATCTGTATTTCCATGGGAAAAAAGAAGATCAGCAACTGTTGTTACACAGCAAATGTGCTGAGTATTTGTGCTCAATACACATTCACTCAGGACATTCAAAGTTTGCATTTTTTTTCTTTTTCTTTTTTTCCAAGACAGGGTTTCTTTGTGTAGCCTTGGCTGTCCTAGAACTAGCTCTGTAGACCAGGCTGGCCTGGAACTCACCGAGACCGGCTTGCCTCTGCCTCCTGAGTGCTGGGATTAAAGGCGTGCGCCACCACCGCCCAGCTAAATTAAAAAAATTTTTTTGAGTACAGTGAACCATGTTCTTTCACGTCAGTTAGCACTAACACCTACAGTCACTCTCTGCGGTCCATCAGATACATTTAGAACAGGAGCTACGGGCATGGTAATCATGCACACTTGGAAAAAGAACCCTCATTTCAAAATTTTTATTCTAACAGCATCAGCTAGGTCTCTAAAGCCAGAATCCCTAGACTGTGGACTGACAGAAGAAAGTTCTAAGTCTACTAGTTTACAGTTCCAAATGAGAGAGTAGATTGAAAAACAGAAACAGCAATGTACTGTGTGCACGCGTGTGCCAGTGTACACATGGATCCAGAAGCAAGAGTAAACCCTGGTTCATACCTTCTGAGACCAGGCCTCTCTCTGGGGCTCATGGATTCAGACTAGGGATTGAACATGAGGTCCTCATGTTTTTGGACCCACACTGTGCTTTCATTACATAAATATATGTATATAATGCATAGTGCTACTCATAATAAAAAATAAGGGACCCATTTGCTAGCTTCATACATTTCTGAGATTGCTTGAGGGGGGGTGGATCACTTGCTCATCATGCAGCAAACACTGGGTCATCATAACAAAAATATTTCTAATTTTTAAAGGGCTAAAAAAAATTGACATTTTAGCCAGGCGTAGTGGTACATGTCTTTAATCTCAGCACTAGGGAAGCAGAGGCAGGCATATATCTCTTTGAGTTTAAGGCCAGACTGGTCTACAAAGCCAGTTGCAGGACAGCCAGGGCTGTTATACAGAGAAACCCTGTCTCAAAAAACAAACAAACAAACAACAATAACATATCAAAATTTTAACTGGTACTCTTCAAAGGCTAGTATATTTTCACTTGATTAAGAAGTAAATAGAGGGGAGGATGGAGGGAGGGTGGCACATCTTTAATCCCAGCACTCGGGAGGCAGAGACAGGCAGATCTCTGAGTTTGAGGCCAGCTGGGTCTACAAGCAAGTTCCAGGTCAGACTCCAAAGCTACAGAGAAACGCTGTCTCAAAAAACAAACAAAAAAGAAGTAAATAGGCAAAACAGCCTTTCTCTAATCTTTCCCTTCCATTTTTATAAATGCGTTTAAGAGAAACACATAATAAAAAATGTACAGTTTAATGCATTTCAATTTTAAAAGAAATCCTACACCCACTGTGGTATCCATCTTCGTTGTAATAATTTTCTGATTCTCAAGCAATGTCTCAAATTAACTTCACAGATTACAGTAAACATTACCTAGCCGAAGCCTCAACCGTAAAGCTAGAGGTGGAACAGACCGTTTTTCTCCAGCAAGGACAAAGCAATAATGCTCACAGGAATACCTGCCTACCCCGTGGTCAAACTGCACTCCAGTCTCAATACCCCTTCTTGCCAACCCTATATACGGTCATAGTGTTATCATGGGGAAAACGGGGCAAGCAGGCGGCAAGAGCGTGGCTGCAAAAGCCTTGACGCAGTTCAGGTGACAGCCCCGAAGTCTGAAGGAGCCTGCTGTGCACACAAGCACACCCAGCGGAGGGTTGGCCCTTCTGCTAACCAGAAACGGTAACTTTGAACATTCTGACTGCAAAGGTTAAAGCCGGCTCTCCAAAACCAGTACTGAATCAATTACAGTTACACTCCCCACCTACGCTATCTGTTCCACCTGCAATCAATGCCACAGAAGCTACGAGACGGAGATAAAGAAAAGGGATAAGGCGCTGAGAAGCCGGGACCCCAAGCTCAGGGTCTGCCGTTCCGGGGCTCCTGCACCCTCGGGTCCCAGGCCTCCCTGAATCTCGAGGCCCAGAGTCTGAGATTCCTGAAGGCTTCAACTGCGCGTCGCCTACGGAGCTGAATCCCGCAGAGGCCCGCGGGGGGGGGGGGGGGGGGGGGGGGGGGGGGGGGGGGGGGGGGGTGAAGGAATGAAGGATGCAGCCAGGGGCAGATGTCGGGATCTTAGCTTCGCAACCCTCAGCCTGTCAGTCCCCGGACCCTCCATCGAACCTGGACCCCGGGCCTTCTCGTCCATCAAGAACCTCCAGCTCGGTCCACTCCATCCCCGACGCAGAGCGAGTCCATAGGGACAAGGACCTCCCGACCCCACCCGGGAGGATGACTCCCCGACCCCTTCTCAAGGATAAGGGATCCTGGGAGAGTAACCAAGGATCCTCGGTCCATCAAAATTCACTGCCCTGCTTACTCTCCCCCCAACTGTGATGAGCCCACCGGGATTAAGACCCTGGCCTCTATACCGAGACAGGGTGACCTGGAAAAGTGACAACCCAGGAGGGTGGTCCTGGAGGGTCATAATCTTGCGAGAGACTGACTCCGGGAAATTTGACTCTGAGAGGGTGACCCTGGAGGGTAGGATATTATAATAACCCACGGGAGGGTTATTAGGGTGATTACCCTGGAGGGTGGCTGCCAGAAGGATGACCCCGGGCCCTGCGCCCATCAGGACTCCCAGCTCTGACTTGAGTCGCCCACGCGGGACCTGTCCCCGCGACCAGAGTCCAGCGGCGGAGGGGGTGAGCTGGGTGCCCACGGCGTACCTGACGGCTGCGGGCCCCCAGGGTTGTCCGACTGCTGTGCGCTCGCTGACGCGAGGCTCTTGCGCTCTTTCTGCGACTCCCTGCGGCCGGCCGCGCCGGGTCTGTGTCCTGAGGCCACAGCCGGGCTCCGGCCGCCGCGGTGCCCGACCCCGCTGGCCGCCGCCGCCTCGTCGCGCCGCTTGCGCTGCAGCTGCTGCTGGCGCCGGTGCTCGGCCTCGCGCAGGATGTCGAACGGGTCCGACTCGTCGTCCAGCAGCTGGTGGAAGCGGTTGGCCACGACGCAGCCGAACGTCTCCTGCATCGCGGCGCCCGCGGCGGCCACCGGGCTCCCCAGGGCCCCCTTCATGCCGCCGCCACTGCGGGCGCCGCGGGCAGCCTAGGCCAGCGAGGCTCAGGGAAGCCGCGGGCGAGGACCCATGCTGCCGCCGCCGCCGCGCTCCTGGCCCGCGGTCGGCTCCGCCCCGCCGGCGCGCGCCAGCCAATCAGCGCTCGCTGACACGCCCCCCGGCCCCGGCGCGCACGGCGACCCAATGGGCAGCCGCTGTCTGTGACGTCACGCCCCAACTTATCCTACCCCCCCTCCCCCGGCCTGTGGGCGTGGTGGTGCGGGACTGGGGCGGAGCTACCACGGGAGGCACCGCGGAGGCAGCTCGCGTTTGCGCATCACTGCCTGGTGGGAATCCGGTTGCGCAGTGCTGCACTTCACCTAGGTGACCTGGTCACTAGTCCTTCAGGGGCTGCGTGTTCGGGGGATGGCTGTAGACTGAATGAAAGTGCTTAGAGGAGAGTCAGAGTTCTCAGGAGATGGAAGTATTGCTGGGAACTGAGCCAGTCAGGCTTGCAGAGACTTGAGCTTCTGACAGAGGTGACGGGACAGAAGAGCAAACCAACGAAACAACCCTGCAACCCACTGTGATGAGGTGATGCGTGTAGGCGCGGAGAGGGTGAGGTTTAGATAGTGGTTGTTTGCTTTTGAGACAGTCAGTTAAGGCCGGGTTTCTGGTACTCAAATTCCAAACTAGGCTTGCTGGAAAGTGCCTTTACGTCCTGAGCCATCTCTCTTGTCCTGAAAATTAACTTTGTAAGTTATCATACAAGTAATGGTTCTGTGGTATATGTGTTTATATGCATATATATGCCATTACGCTTTCTTCAAAATTGTTCCCTTCCCTCACTTCTCCATGCCCCACCCCTGCCTTCTGTTCACATGTAAAAGGAATAGTTAAACCCACGCGTTAAAAGGTCTGAGTTTTACTGCTGTTCTACTTTCCTGTGCAAAGAAATCGAAAGTGATTTTTGTCTCAAGTTGTAATTGCCCCATTCAGGCAGCTGATAGAATCTCAGTAAATACAAGTTGAATTGACTAGAGATTTTAAGAAACTGGTCATTTCCTTTTTTGAATTAAAGAATAATGCTTGCATTTTCTAGCAAAAATTGAAAACAGTTATTGAAATGAAAACGTGTATTATTCTCAGAGGTGCTATTCACAGTGAGCAGAAGGCAGAGGCAACTCAATGAAGTGTGGCCACAGCAGCAGCTTGTATTCTGGGCAGAAAAAGAACAAGTGTTGGTACACTATGCAGCGCAGATGAACCTTGAAACATTGTGCAAAGGGTCAGGTCATGTCAGGAATGGGTAAATCCACATGGTTTAGTTACCTTTGCCTCACTGCATTCACAATAGCACATTAGATTTGTTTTGGCTCCTAGTATCAGAGGTATTCAGTTCATCATGGCAAGGAAGGCATGGGAAAGCATTCAGTTCATGTCGGGAGCCTGGGGTGGAGGCTGTTCTCATCATGATGGACCAAAAAATCGAGAGCAAAAGAGGAACCAGGCAGGGGTAACTTATCCTCCAGGGACTCATCCATCCAGGCACTCTCTCCTAAAGACTCCATAGTCTCCCCAGATAACACTACCAGCTGAAGAACAAGTGTTTAAACCATGACCCCACAGGGGCATTTCAATATTCCAGCTGTATCACTTGAAACAGAAAGCAGGTTAGGAATTTAATTGGAATGCCTTCTTTTCTAGAAACTAAGGTATTCAATGATTTGTAGATTCATGGCATTTAGTTTATTCTGCTGTGGGATAATCCTGCTGTTGGATAATGGTCTCGCACACTGTAAAGATTTGTCACTCATGCTGGTTTAATACAGTGGTGATTGGCCAGTAGCCGGGCAGGAAGTATAGGTGGGGTAACCAGAGTAGGAGAATTCTGGGAAGAGAAAAGTCAGTTACCAGCCATATGCAGAGGGAGCAAGATGAGAATGCCTTACTGAGAAAAGGTACCGAGCCACATGGCTAACTATAGACAAGAATTATGGGTGGATTTAAGTATTAAGAGCTAGTTAGTAATAAGCCTGAGCAATAGGCCAAACAGTTTATAATTCATATAAGCCTCTGTGTGTTTATTTGGGACTGAATGGCCGTGGGACTGGGCGGGACAGAAACTTCTGTCTACACAATCCTGAACTACATTTTGTTGTTTTTTGAGACAGATTTCTCTGTGTAGCCCTGGCTGTCCTGGAACTTACTCTTTGGACCAAACTGGCCTCAAACTCAGAGATCCACCTGTGTCTGCCTCTCAAGTGCTGGACTTAAAGGCATTGTGGCACCACCACTGGCTTATATTATTCATTTTATTGCCCATATCAGTGCAGCTTTAGACACTTTTGACTCCTGTGTTGCTTAGAGATATATAATGATAGTGCTCCAATACTTTCTGGAAGTGAAGATGATTATTTACTCCTGGAAGCTCTTGTACATTTCCTGGACTGGTCTTGGCATCAGCCATTTCTCCAAAGAGACTTGATTCCTATTACTGATGACTGATTTTAGAGACCAGAAGCTGTGGGAAGGTGATCACTTTGTAAATATGACATCAAAGGCACAAGCAAGTCACACTTCATCAAATTTAGCTGTTAAGGAAAATGGAAATAAAAGCTACCTGTGACAGCCTGGCACATTTTCTCTGATAACTGGCATTTCTATTATTCCATTGTATTTTTCCCATTTTCACGCGTGTGTGGTATGCATGTTTACATGTGTTTGAGCACGTATGTATGGATGTGTGTGCACCTGTGTGCAAGTGCTTGTGGAAGTAGGCTGAGGTTGATATTAGGAATTATTCTCATTTCCTCTCCTGCAGGGAGCCAGTACGTGCAGCCGCCATTACAAGATGGTGCCTGCAGGCTTAGGATAAACAATTCCATATAAGGTCATAGCCAGTACCACCATTTCGGGCTGCTCAGTGTCCTCAGTGTGCCGGACCTATCAGGGAGCTTGGAATGGCAGCTGAGACACTTTGACCAATAGGAAGCCTGCACATACCCCTGGTCCCCATATAGGCAGTTGCAGCTCAGAGCTCGGGGCCCCTCGCCTCCTGCTCTCCCTTCAACCAAGAGGCTCCAATAAAATGTGATTTGGGAAGAATCCTCGTCTGGTGGCTGTTCTTTCCTGCTGGTCAGGGAGTTCGCTGCACTCTCCCACCTTATTTATTGAAGTAGAGTGCCTCAGTCAAACCCAGAGCTTGCCGATGTTGCTAGTCTCCCTAGCTGGCTTGGTTAGGGGAGTCTCCTGGCAGGCTGTAATTTTTAAAGGAAAACAAAATATACATTAGGAGGATGTGAAGAGGTTTGGACTTTCAGTGTGAGCACTGGAGGAAAGAGCAGGGCAAGTCTTTAAAAAATTAAACTTCAGAGGTTCTAAATGGGCTTCTGCTTCATGTAGACGTGTTGGAGGGTGGATTTAGAAGATTTAGAAATTAAATAGAATCACGCAGAAAAGGATTCAGAAATGAAGACATTTGTAACTGTGAGATAAGTATAAGTAGATTTGATTCACACACCCAAACAGAAACTTATACACAAATGACACTGGCATTATTAACAAAAACAATAGCCCAAATTTGGAAGCTACCTAGTGCTAATCAGCTGATGGCTGGAAGAACTTTTTAAGGATTTTAACTTTTTATTTTTTATTTCTCTCTCTCTCTCTCTCTCTCTCTCTCTCTCTCTCTCTCTGTGTGTGTGTGTGTGTGTGTGTGTGTGTGTGTATCCTTTGGAACTGGAGTTACAGGCTGTTGTGAGCCACCTGGTGTGGGTCCTGGAAATCAAGCTCTGCTCTTCTACAAGATCAGTTAGCACTCTTAATTATAGAACTATTTTTCCAGCTGCATTTCTATAACATTATAGTAAATAAAAGAAGCCAGATACAATATGCCAAAGGCAATAGGACTCCACTTATGAAAAATATCAATTATAAAGTTCATACAGACAGAAAGTAAATTAGTGGTTTCCAAGGGGTGGTATCTACATATTACAAAAGCCTCCTGTTTAATTTTTTCAGATTTAAATATTTTGTATGTGTGAGTTTTTGCCTTCATGTATGTGTGTGCATCATGTGAGTGCTTGGTACTGGTGGATTCCAAAGAGGGTGCAGGATCCCTCAGAACTAGAGTTGCGTGTAATCGTGAGTATTATGTGGGTGCTGAGCACTGAACCTGGATCCTCTTCAAGGACAACAAGTGCTCTTAACCCCAGAGTCAATGCTCCATCCCTCAAGTCTCCTGTTGTAAATGCAAAATTCCACTTAATAAACTTAAAGCTTTGTGCACCATTGTTACAATTTAGTTTTTAAGCTTTTTCCCTCCACTTCAGAAAATACCTCTGGCCAATCAGTCAACCCTCTTTCTACCTTTAGCACAAGGCAACCACTAATTTTGTGTTCTGGCTCTATTGATTGATAAGTGTGTGATTTTGTTAAATATTTTTATTGCTTTTGTGGAGCCCTCACAGTGTCTGTTTTAGTGTTTTCATGTAATGTAAAAGCTGCTTCTTGGGACTGCAGAGTTGGCTCAATGGTTAAGAGCATTGACTGCTTTTCCAGAGGATCTGGGTTTCATTCCCAGCCCCCACATGGCAGCTCACAACGGTCTGTAATTCCAGTTCTAGAGGATCTGGCACCCTCACACAGATATCAATGCATATAAAAATAAATATATTTTTGTTGTTTTTGGTTTTGGTTTTTGAGATAGGGCTTCTCTGTGTAACAACTCTGGCTTTCCTGGAATTTGCTTTGTAGACCAGGTTGGCCTTGAACTCACAGAGATCTTCCTGGCTTTGCCTACTGAGTACTGGGGTTAAAGGCCTGTGCCACTACTTT